CCAACTTGTGTAATGTGTGGTTTCCATTGAAGCATCCGGGACACTCAACCACCAAACATCCTATGCCTAGGTCCATCCTCTACTATCTATACTGTATATATGCGCACACACACACACACTATATAAATACATGGAGAGAGAGAGAGAGAGATTGATTGATGTTGCGTAAATTGGTTGTGGATATAAGTGACATTACCTTAATTATGTACGACTTATGTGGAACAAACAAAGAAGAAATTCAAATATAATTCAGTATAAAAAAGAAAAAGAAGCATAAATATATAATCACTTTCAAACCCACTATTATATTTTGACTTAAACCTAGTCATTAATTAGCTCATTTATTTCCTTGTACCATTAATAATCACGGACGATTGTGAAGGTGAACAACATAAGTCACAAACCAATCACTTATATTTCGAAATTGAAAGCTTCGTCTCTCAATAAACGTTAATTATTTACTTATTGTTAATAAAATAAAAAAATAATAATATTATTTGAGCCTTAGAGGGGAACCTAATGTACATATTTAATTCAAAGTTATCGTTAGATTGATTATAAATCTTATTCATTATTATGATTCGTTGTTAATCTAATGATAATCATAGGCTAGATTAATAAACTAAGTCAATAGATTAAATTTAAATATTAAACAAAAATTACAAAAAAGAAAGGAAAATCACACACTACTTTGGGTAGTGTATGGTTTCATCAAATGCCATAGAAATGTAATGAAATAGTGTTCATTTATTTAGGACCGGACTAGGGTAGTTGGAAAAAAAAAATGGGTACCATATCGTCAAAATTTCATAAGTTTTTTGTAGGTTGAGACATAAGTTTTAGAAAATATTATTTGGATTTAAAAGACTGATTTGATTAATCACAAACATTTAATAAAGAGTGGGTCCCAATTAAATCAATGATAACAGGTATTTGGTTCAATGGTACTCATTATCTTGTGAAGACCTTGCCTTCTTGAAGTCAAGGATTCAAGTCCCTCCTTCCCCTTCCAAAAAAAAAAAGGTCAATAAAATAAATTAACATTTTAAGTACATATACGCACATAAGTTTTTGAATTTATTTACAACAAAAAAAATTACAATACTTTTTGGTCATGTTACAACTTTAAAGGCACAGATTATATTTTTTTTGTGTGTCAAGTTGCAATTTTTGAGATACCCGGGATGAATTACAAAAATTTTATGAACGATTTTAAGTAGTCAAAAATTATAAATGACCCCCCAAAACTTTTTAAAAAATTCATAAAATTTATACATAACGACACGGTATAATTTTTCTAAAAAACTTGACTTACCCAAAAAATAATTTTTTTTTAATATCATATTCTTCTCCATATATTAAACATAAAAAATCTTATTGTACGAGATGTGCGGTGCACTAAATTGACGCGACGATTATGTCACTGGTGGGGTAGTAGTAGCTGACCATGCCTTAACACTAGTAATTAAGCAGAAATTGGAAGACAGCAAATGAAAGAATCCACCCGAAGACTGTCCCTACAAACACTAGGCACTTTCCTATGGTATGGCTTTGGTCTTGAATCTTGATGGCACGTTGGAATTATGTCTGAGGTTATTTTGGAGTTACTTAGGTTGTTTTTTAAATATGTAAATATTTAAAATTAATACAGTTGGTTAATCCGACTCAAGGTTATTAGTAGATATATTGGTTTTAAGTCATAAACCGATTGATCAACAACTTACTTAAGATAATTGGATTGACACTAACTCGTTTAAGTGTGAATTCTTTATATACAACTATAATCGGATCAAGATCTAGTCTAGATTAAACCATTATTGATACAATACAATTAGAAATCCAACTCAACACATTGTCAACCCCAATGATGGATTTAGCCTATTAACGCGAGAGAGAGAGCTTTTTTTTTGGTCATGAGAGAGAGAGAGAGAGAGAGAGAGAGAGAGAGAGAGAGAGAGAGAGCTTAAACCCAACAAAATTGACTATTGCGTCCAAAGATGCTTTTTATAATATCTTCTGGACTTATTTTCTTTTAAACTTAAATTTAAATTTGAATAAAAAAATTTTTATAATCTTTTACAATTTTATACTCAAACACATACCTAAGAGCATTTTCACCCTTGACTCAAATGCAGACTCAAGTTTAAATTTGAGTTAAAATAACACAAAAAATTTCTCCAACTTTAGACTCAAATTTATACCAAATGAAAGGCAAAACTTATTCTAAATTCAAATTGAAACAAACTCAAATTCTATACCAAATTTCTAATGGTAACTTTTTGAATTTATCTAAAACTAAAAACCTTCTTCGTTGCCTCTTTTTTCCTTTCTCTGCTACACTGCTTCCATCGCCAACCACCATTGAAGCTTTCATAAATCCTTTGAAGGCATGTAGGTAAGTTTTTTCTTTTTTATCTTTCATATTCTTGATTTTTTATTTTTTTTAAAACTCTAATCTTATCTATCTTTCATATTATATAAACCCTAAGCTTACCTATCAAATTTTTTTTTTTTATTTTTTCGAGTTAAACACTATCGATAGTATAATTTCAGGCTACTGATTCTTCCTGAAATTTTAAGCCTTCACTATCCATAAATTTAAAAAATTCGTCATTTTATTACTTCAATCTGTTATTTTTGTTAAAAAAATATGTTTTTGTGTTTTTCAGACCAAACTCGTGTCAAAATAATTATTTTTGTTTTCTTTTTCTTCTCTTTTCTTATTTGAATTTATAAAAAATGATAAGGGATTAGAACAATATTAAAATTCTTGTGTGATTTCTTTATTTTCATGTAGTGTTGTATATATATTCATTTTTTTTTTTGAATTACCCATTTGTAGAGAGATGAAAGTTTTTATCAAATATCATGATTTGAATGACGCAAAAAAAGGAGTTTTGGGACAATAAAAAAAAATTTCAAAACATTTGAGTAGATATTTGAATTTGTCCATTAGAGTATTTTATAACAAATCAAAATTTTTATTCAAATAAACTCAAATTTAAATTTAAATTTGAGTTATGATTAGAGATGCTCTAATTAGGAGAAACTCAAACATGGACTCAAATCAAAAAAATCTCAACTTAAACCCAAAACTTGACAGCAAAACAAATTACTTCTCTTTTCAAACCCGTTACGAATCAACACAAACTTACTGAGCTTGTAGGCACCCCATCATTACCACGTTTAAGCAGACCCACTACTTGGTCATCAAACGTTCAATCACCCTATTAACTTTGGCTTTGGATTAGCCTATTAGGCCACTCAAAGTAAATAAATAGTAAAGGATATGGCAATTATTAATGGTACAGTATCCTATCTTTATTTGCATGGGACATTGGTGATTTGTTTTTTGAAGTGATTGAAATAAAACACCCACTCCATTTAATAAAAAAAAATAAGCAAATCATGTTTCTAAACTTTTAATCTAAACCACTTTTTCAAGGGCTTGAGTAATTTATTCATATTTTTATCATATGACGATAAAATTGTGTTCGATTGATTCACTCGATATTTTACAATAACAAAAAATTAATATGCTAATTTATTTTTTAAATATAACCAATTCTAGGGACATTATATGTAACAATGATGATCAAGGGAAGGGAGAAAAACTCTTTCATTTGAATTGAATTTCGTGGGTGATCATAATAATAATAAAGAATTTGTTCTTTTTTTTTTTTTTTTGCCAATTTTTCTATTTCCTTATATAGCCCTTTTTATACATTTACTCAAGATCCATCTCCATACCTACATTATCATGGATTTAAAAATGTCAAAATTAAGAATAATACTATTACTACCTATAAAATTGAACTAGTTTATTGACTCAAATGATGTATTAACAGATAGAATTTCAACCAAAAAAAAAAAGTCTACAAATTATATTCATAGCAATACAATTAGAGCATGTTATCGTCACATTATTAATCCCTCTCTCATCTCATTTCCTGTCCTTTTTTTTTTTAAATGTCTGTGTGTTTCAAAATAATTCACTGTACCTTGGTAAAATAAGCCCCTTCGGAGAAAAAAAAAAAAAAGCAACACAGACGAACTCTGACCATATATTATCAAATAGAAACCAAAAGAAATTGTTGTGACGAATTAGGTCTATTTTTTAAGTCCCGAAAATATTAATTACTCCAAAATAAAAGTGTCCCCTATCTTTTTTTTTTATGAAGCTTTTACAGGTATAAGAATTAGTCCCAAGTGTGACAACTAAAATAAGTTCCTTCTGCGTAACGGCCGTTAATAAGACGTTAAGAAATGCTTTCCGCCATTGACTAATCAAAGCATCATGAACTTTTTATTGAGTTTTGTCCTTACGATTTCTCTAATCTCTTTGGTATCATCACTCACTACTCACGTGTCATTAGCAACATTGAAAAAAAAAACACAAAAAACACCAACCACACCGTAAATTTGATGAATGGGAACAATGAATAGTGCAAAGTAATTTTCTTAGTTCATTAAAATTTGGGATTCAAAATTAGATTATCGAATCGAGTTCTCTAATATGTAAAGATGACCAACCAACTGAACGAACGAGTTTGAACTCGACCCTGACGAGATCCTTTTGAAAGTTTGAATGACAAACGAGAAGAACGAATGAGTTCCAACTTATGTCTAATGAGCTTGTTTTTTAAAAAAACTTAAAAAAGTGTTAAAACAAGTTCGAACTAAGTCTTAAAAATTGTTAGAGTTCAAAATGAACTGAATTCAAACCGAGCTAATATTTTGAATAGATTGATTTTCGTGATTATTTATCAATAATCTTAAGGCCATTTGTATTTAATTTCTTCTGATAATAGATAATCGAAATAAGCTGAATCTTCTATTTTCCCACAGAAAGAGGATTTTTTTTTTTTTTTTCTTTTTTCAAAATATTTCACTAAGAAAATAACAAAAAGCCAAAAAGAAAAACAAACAATATACAACACTCACACTGTCAAAGGAACTATTTATACACAATGAAAACAGATAGAACCATCAAACGAACTCACAAACTCGCTTCAGCTGAACACTCCGGCGACTTCGCCGACCACTTACCGGCGAGCTTCGCAAGTTCATTAACCAATCAGTAATGATGAGAAGAGAATGAAGACAGATCATCATCATCATGTCAGTATCTTTCTCCGACTGCTTCTCCGACTTACTCTGCTGCGAGGACTCCGGAACAATCTTCTCCGACGGAGACCTGCCGGAATGTTCATCTGACCTCGAATCTCCGATCAACATCGAGGAATCGATCGCCGGATTCATTGAAGATGAGAGAAACTACGTCCCCGGAATCGACTATATCGAGAGATTTCACTCTCAATCATTAGATTCAAGCGCTCGCGAAGAATCTATTGCATGGATTCTCAAGGTATGTAATCAAGCAAATTACTCACGCATTCTGATAAGCTTCTTTGATGACCGCTGCTAGCTAACGTGCGCAGGTATCTCGCTGAGCTTTATCGAATCCTCGTTATCGTCTAGACAGATCTAGAATAAGTATTCGATCGCTAAGCTCACAATTCACGGCCCCGCCGGAGAACCTTTACGATGCATTTTAGCAAGGCGCCGGCGGTTCTGACTAGTGTTTGGTGTTAATTTTGGGCTAAGATTACGCCATAACATTCATGAGATCATTGATGATGTATCGAAGATTGGCGGCGCAATATAGATAGATATATATACTCTTCATGATATCTTACGCTTCAATAAGATTGATCGGAGTTAGTTTACTTTGCAGGTGCAAAGTTATTATGGTTTTCAGCCGCTAACGGCGTATCTGTCCGTCAACTATTTTGATCGGTTTCTGTACTCTCGCCGCCTGCCGGTAATCTCCATCACCGTCAACTGATCACAAGTTGTTTTTCTTTTTCTTTTTTCCTATTTTGTATAATTTTTTTTGCGTTTCTAATAACTGAAAATTTTGTCTTTGTTTGGATGACTTTTCAAACTGGGTGAAAAGGACTTGAGTAGAGAGTATCAAGAAAATATAATCCAGTGAAAGTATATGTAAATGTGCTAGAGTGTACGTACTATATACTACTTTATCATAACCTTTTGAAATGTCGAATCAGTATCAGACAAGTATATACGATGACATACTTAGGCACTTCATTTAACATATTTGTTGAAATACATATGAAAATATTTGTATAATCCATATTACCACAAGTTAAGTTTTAAATGAATAAGTGGTTTAACACAGATCTCAAGTCACAGTGGCCAACAATTGAATTCGAGGAATAGTCCGTCCAAAATTGGACACCCTGTATATATAAAAAAAAAACCGGGGTTTTAGATGGCTACAGTAGTTTGTCTCGTTAATAGTTGACAAAGGAAAGAACATACTTTTATTGTTTTTGTTGGGTAAGTACATACCTTTATTATTTACGCTTTTGAATTAAACTTTAATCTTCCTGTCTTAGCACTTGCCATGTACACGTATAATAATAGACCATGCTTTGCCAATGATAGACCAGGCTCAAGAAAGTTGGCCAAATGTCGTAATGGGCATTGGACACTATCCAAACTTCACTAACTATATAGGAATCCACTTAACAACTCCTTAAAGAAGAAAAGTTAGTACAAACTGGCCTTGCTTATTGAATTGATCACCCACCATCTGTCTTGTTGTCCATTTTGTTGACTTGTACAGTGTACCACTCACATTTTGATTACCAGAATATTTTGTGTATGCTGGTTTTTAATTTCTATTTATAAGCATGCTGATTAGGCAATGTTTCCTAGTTAATAAAGTACTTGTAAGGCATGTCTATTTGTCTGATTCCTTTGAATGAATCTGAAAGAAATAATTAAGGTGGTGGTTGTGATTTTTATTATGTTTCCTGATGTAATAATAAACTGATTTTTTTGGGGGTAAAATCACAAATTTTATTTTGTTTTATTCAGCACACAAATGGGTGGCCATTGCAACTTTTATCAGTCACTTGCTTATCATTAGCTGCCAAGATGGAGGAACCTCTGGTTCCATCTCTCTTGGATCTTCAGGTGATTTTCTCATCAAATAAATTAAATATTCTAAATTGGTTTAATGATTGGAAGGTATATATATACCAGCATTATATATACTGTATATTATTTAGGTTGGAGGTGCCAAATATATTTTTGAACCTAGAACAATTCGAAGGATGGAGTTTCTTGTACTTGGTGTTCTGGATTGGAGGCTGCGATCCATTACACCATTCACCTTCATGGGTTTCTTTGCATACAAGCTTGATCCAACAGGAACTTATACAGGGTTCCTTATCTCAAGGGCCACTGGAATTATCCTATCGACCATCCAAGGTACAGAGATGTATATATACTTATATAGGATATCGTCCAAAAAATAGCGTAATTTTATTTTATGGTTATGTTTGTTTATATATATCCTATACATGTAGTTGTTTTTACCTTATTTTTCAAAACACGTTGCGAATAGTAAATTGAAAAATAAATTAGACATTGGGATATAAAGAAAATAACGTCAAAAGCTCCATAAATTTATCTGTATTTATGCAACGATTGCAGGTATACATAAAAAACTATATTATAAAAATACTGAAGAAGCAAAACTCAACTAAATCGTGAACTTTAATACTTTATTGCTCATGTCAACAGAGGCTAGTTTTCTTGAGTATTGGCCATCATGCATTGCTGCTGCAGCAATACTTAGTGCAGCCAACGACATTCCAAACTTCTCCTTTGTTAATGCTGGACATGCTGAATTATGGTGTGATGGACTAAGCAGAGTAAGAAAATAATTATATGAAGACTAGGAATTTTTTTAACTAAATTTACAATACCAACTTGGAAAAACCTATTGATTTTGCAGGAGAAGATCATCGGCTGCTACCGATTAATCCAAGCTGATCATAATGGGAGAAGGAAGCCTCCTAAAGTCCTACCACAGCTCCGAGTCATGACTCAGGCAAGAATTGGGTCGAGTGACTCGTCTTCCTCATCATCGACCTCATCTTATAAAAGGAGGAAATTAAATAGCACTTCGTGGGTAGATGATGACAAGGGAAGCTCCGATTAATGGGAAAACTTTGCAGAAAACTATACAAAAAAATGGCATGGTGGTCCAAGTGGTCTACAATCCTCAATATTTTTAGGAGGGTTTTGAGATAAATTGACAAGAGTGGTGTAAATTATTAGAATATATAAATATATGTGTCTGTGAGAGTTTGGAGAGAGTGTGAGATTTATTATTTTTTTTCTTGGTGGGCATTGCCATTCATTAATATGGCTTTGCAGATTCCCAAGGGTGGGAGATATGGTACATAATGTTTTGGTGTGTGAGAAAGTGAGGGAAAGAGAGGAGAGAGAGATTGGTTTAATAACTTAATACTATGGTGGAGTCATGGAATATGAAACAAGTGGGGAGTGATTGAATTCAAAGGCAGCATTGATTGTTGAATGAAAGATGAGAGATAGTGGGACCCTTGCTATAGGGTCTGGGGACTGGAGGGGTAAAGGGGTAGAGAAAATCAATGGGGTTTGGCAAAAAATAAAGGATTGAGCTTTGAAGTTTGAGCTGCTCATGGGATATAAGTCAAGCTCCTCATTTAGGCCACCATCATTGCCTATAGCCTTCAATATCTACCTGCTTCAGTAAAGAATGGAAGAAAAAGAAGAAGGGGGAATAAGGATGGCTCCATATGGTAGACTTTTGAGTTTTTTGAGTGATGTGTGTGTACATACACTTTTAGTGTGTGTTCTACGCTGTGTGTATGTGTGTTTTTTTTGGCGGGAAATGTCTGTTACAGATCCTAACCATATACTGGACTCTTTTTGAGTGATGTTCACACGTGTAAGGGTTACATGTGTGTGTCATATTCTTTTTATTTTTTATTTCTTTCTTTTTTTTTTTTTTGTTTTCTGGAGGGAAGAATAGGTCCCTCTTTGATGGCCAAAAATTGGCCTAACCATACAAAGGCCTTTGGGGGCCTTTTTGTGCGTGTTGTATTTGGATTCATCAGTCAATAGTTTTATATCTCTCTCTCTCTCTCTCTCTCTCTCTCTCTCTCTCTCTCTCTCTCTCTCTCTCTCTCTCTCTCTCTCTCTTTATATATATATATATCTCTGTGTGCCATGCACGTGAATGACAATGAAGAGTTTGTAGGTTTGCAATTTGTTGTATTATTGAGCAAGAGAAAGGGTGGAATTTTGTGAGGGCAGAGGTCTGTGCAGTGAGGGGATAGTTGGTCCCTCTAGTAATAAAGATTGATTCAATCAATGAGAATATGACTCCTTAACCAGTGTCCTCTCGTGACTGACCCATCTCCCATGGCTGTTGTTCTCCCGTCTCCCCCTAGATTTCAGACAACTTTGCCTTTCCCCAGTCTCACACTCAGATCTACCATTCTTCCCCATCCTCCATTATTCCCAAATAATCTATATCGACATGAAAAGACTACCATAACTCTCGACAATATAGTCAAGTGAGATTATTACGACTTCAACAAATGAGAATATCATAAAATATAACCATTATAATAAAATACGATAAAATATGATCATTTAATCTCAATTTTAATTTATATTTTATCTGGTTCGGTAATATCGTTAATGTAAAAAGAAGTTTGTATTTGAAGTTGTAGTTGCGACAAATATTCCCGCATACTTAGTACTGTTTTTCATTCATCATATAGCATGGGACGTTGGCCCTTTATAAGTTTGTTAAAGGTAACATACATTTTAGTACTTCCGTTGTCGTGCTTTATTATCACCTTTAATCAAGACACGTGATATTGTCAATGAAAAATCTTAAACGAATAATGTTTTTTGGGTACTTTTGGGCAAATAAACCGAATAATTGCCATCACATTCATGTCCATCAAATTACACAGCTGTTTTGATGGACCGTAGCGGAAAAAATAACAAGGTTGCGACGAGTTCCGGTCAGTACAGGTCACTGCATTTCCTCTTGGACTGGTGCCCTAAAATTCAGCTTGACTGATTTAAATTGAGGGATAAACAAGACAATGGTGATCGATATTGATAAAGACTCACCTCATTGAAAATGTATCACTTTATTGAGGCCTTTTAAGTTTGTTCCAAACTCTGTGGTTCCCACATTCTGTGGTGTTGGAATCCACTAGATGTTTTATAGTGTGCCAAGATCAAAAACAACTGAAACATTGGGAATGTTTCGAAATATTTTGAAGTGTTCGAAAACAAGTTGGCTAATATTTTTGGAATCAAAATTTCATTTTTTTTTTTCATTTTGGAATTTTTTACATTTCGATATTTGACTTGGCCAAAACTATGCACGAAAACGAAAATTTCATCTTTGATACTGTAAATTTAATACCATTTTTAGAGGCTATCTTATTAGTTAATGAGATGTGGCATTAACGGACCAGTAGGAGCCATGAAGATTTTGGTCACTTTTCATCAATCAAAATGGCCATCTTTCCCCACTAAAAAGGTTGCAATAAAGAATTGCTGTTTTTGTTTGGTGATCAACAACCGATGAAGATAATTAAAGTAAAGCAGCCCCCCCACGAGAAATCAGACAAAAGCTTTGGATTAATCAAAACTCCTAGAGGACAAACAATTAGACAAGCCGCGGAAGGCAATAACCGTACTAACATCTACTTTTTTGACAAACCCATGTTACAAACTGTTCACGTACGTGTATTTAGATTATGATTTAATTCATTACAATCATTAGATTAGATGTGAATTTTAATGTTATATCGAGCCCATTTTAATCTAACAGTTACAATTGCTTGAGTTCCTAAATTAAGTCCAACAGTATTTGTCTAAATACAGGGTCAATGATGAATCTCGGGGTGAAAGAGAGTTATTGCCTCCGAGTTTGAAGACTTCTTTTAATATTACGTGATATTTGTTAAGTTATATATATATATATATATATAAGTAATACTATTGAGATTTAATTTATTGACCTAATTTGCTGACCTAATTCACTATAACATTTGGATTGACTGTGCATCAAACATTGAAATTTAGTGTTAATCCAATGATTCCAATGAAATCACGTCACTAGGTTAACAAATTATGTCAAATTTTTAAGTTCAAATAATATGTTTCTATATATATATATATAGTCACGAAGGTGATGTATATATAAGATTAAACTCTTCAAGAACATGCTGAAAAATTGAAAAGGGAAATAGGGGTGGCTGCAAAACAAGCAAGTGGGGGCCATGGTGACATGATGCCTAACCCATTTGATGACAATAAGATGAAAATCTAATGAGAATTTTGGACTTTGTCAGCATTAAATTTCATCATGATCTCCCATTATAAATGCCAAATGATAGTCACTGAATATATTTCTTTTTCTTTTTTTGGTTTTAACATCAAGGTTATGATCATGGTTATTCATTACTCAATATTTTCTAGTTATAATTCACTTATCATGGGTATAAATCAAATCTGACTGGTAATAATCATGAACTGTGAGTTGAAAGCTCAAAAACCCACAACCTGAATCAAATCATATAGAGGTCCCAAGGCAAACTTTACATAGCTCATTTTGTCAGAAAAAAAAAAAAGAAAGAATTTTCAGGGGCCAACCCAAGTTTATCCCACCTATGATTCCCACTCTCTCTCTCTAAAAAAAAATCTTTTTTTAAAGTGAGGAGAATCCTAAGTATAAACATAGAAGCCAGAATGCTTTGTCTCTCTCCCAATGAAAAGTAGGGTTTTTGAGGGTTTAGGGAGCAGATTTCATCTCTTAGCCACACTTTTTCTAGAGAATTTTCCAACTTTGTGAGGTCATGACAAGGATAGAAGGACCCTTCAAATCCAGCTTTGGACATTTATCTTTGGTTGTAAAACGATGCTCGTGGGGTTGCTGTAAAAAGTTCATAGGACCCCTAGGACTAAAAGGTTCAAAAGATGGAATGATTCTGAGTTCTATGGATTTGGTATTTGAATTTCTGCTGAATGCAAGACAGCACCTTCTCAATTACATTGGCCACTTGATGTCCCCATGACACGTTTATATTCCGAAAGAAAAAGCAAAGAAAAAGGAATGAAGAGAGAAAATCCTTTTTGTACCACCTGAATATACCTGAAAAAATTTATATTTTGTCCCTTTGATAATGCAATTTTTGGAAAACTTTAGGCACACCCATGAAGATTATCATATCTTCACGTATACCCATTTGTGTTATCTAAAGTATGAATCAATGTGCTCTTTTTAAGTTTATATCTTCAATTCAAATACCGCCTCTATCTCGAGGGACTACCTCTAACGTTGTTAAAAACATTGATGTCACCAAAGATTATTTTCATACTTACTAAGCACTAATTCAGTTAGATATTATACTAAAATCTAGATACATAAAACACACAAAAAAAAACTAAAAAGTGTGCCTTCATATGGTAAATGATCATATAATATACGATATAGTTGAATATTCAATAGCGATTATGTAAAACAACCATGTTTAGTAAGTTTTAAATAATACAAGGGTTATCGTGAAGATAGTATAATCTATAAGAGAGGTGGGTGAACTTTTTATAACTTTATTTTAAAGTTTATTGTCAAGTGATGCTGACCGAAGTGATAGTAACTTTTACTTGGGTACTAATGCTTTCTAATTATCTTACAAGTACTTGTGTAGTATATTAAATAAAATATACAAGCACGCATGCGCACATGTAGTTGTATCTATACATGAGATATGAGTATACCAAGCAATATATATAGGTGGTAGAGGGAGGAGCCCCATTGTTGGCTTTCCAACTCATTTTTCATTCTTTGGATGCTATGGCCTCAAAAGAAGCTGAAAGTTGGAAATGGGAAGGGAGGGGGAGCGTCTATGTCGTGATGTTCTTTTTTGCTTTGTGATAGTGCCTGCTGGACCTCCATTCCAAAGAGTGGAGACAAAAGAGTCATCTCTACAATCATCAACAACCACACCCCCCTTCATTGGCTCATCCATTTCCATATCTTAATTTCCTGTCATAATCCCCAAAAGCAAGCATCAATAGGAGCATCGATCGTGATGCATCATGTTCGGGTTGTATTTTATATAGTGTTCTTTCGGATTCGTGTTATGAAGTTTCCGATTTATTATTCAATGGACCACATAAGCCAAAACCACAAGAGATTAAACTCCCTTTTCTCTCAAATAAATCGACCACACTTGCGTCTCCATTAAATGTAAGATCCACTAGATCCATCTTCTAGTACTAAAACTATATATAGCTTGTGACACAGTACCGGATTAAGAAAATTCAAAAAAGACCAATCGAATTATTTATCGTTGATACTAATTTGACGATTTTTTTATTTGTATCTATATATTGTGTCTTTTTGAATTCATATCATATCATGTTATATCGGGTGTATAGGGTCAAAAAAGAATCTCTAAGCACAACACACCTCTGATTTTACATCTTGCTGTGAAAGGCAATAGAAAAAAGTGATGTGGATGCAAAAAGAGATTGCTGTTTAGCTCTAGGCTTGTAGCTATAAGCAGATTACCGAGGGAAAATGGCAAGTAAGAAAGATTACAGGCTTTATAAAGGATTTTCAAAACAAATGACAAATGTCTGGACTTGATTGATTGTGGCTGGTGGATGGGTTTAGTGGCAAACCATACCTTCTTTTCCCCATCTTTTTGTTGGTAAAAAATCATAATTTGGCCCCTGAATTTTGCACCCAATTTCAACTATGCCCCTAATGTTTTTTCTAAAACACAAATAAGTCTTCTAACAACTTTCAAGTTCCACTTTAACCCTTTATTTCTACTATTTTGCCGAAAAACCCTAACATATGTAAAAAACGCGAACCCATTAATCTTTGTTGTTATCTTGCCTAACTATATACAATTAAAAAGCAAAAAAGCAAAAAAGCAACAGACATTTTATTTCTAGGAAGCAGAAAGCATCAACTTTGATATACTTTAAAATCACTGCACAAAAGTGCTTTGAAGTGGCTTTTTTTGTGGTTTATAAGAGAATTCATGCACAATCCTGTCCACATTACTTTGAAGTCATTCCAGTTCCACTAGAGTTGTTCATTTAACTTTTTAGTTTTCCCCATGTGTAATTATGGGATATTAATGGGCAAGAATTTAAATAAACAATTGCCCTATGGTGTCACATGCTTGAATACTATTGTCCACTGTTGGCCTATGCCTTTGAGTCCCTCCTTCCATATTCTAGGACAAACTCAGTAGCAAATCATGAATATTTGAGAAGACTTGTCGCACTCTCAAACTCATATATTGTAGCAATGTTGGTGGTGGAAATTCTTTAAATAAAGTAGAATGTCCAACAACTCATGGTGTGTCGATTTTGTCAATTTGGTCCTTATTATATTAATTTTATAATTTGATCCCTAAAATTTTAATTGTTTCATTTTAGTCCATAATTAAACAGTTCGTTAATTTTTTTACGGAATTGACCACGTGTCATTTTTTTAAATTGTATCACACGATCAACACGCGATCATTCCGTCAAAAACTTAACGATCCGTCTGTATAGTGACTATTTAAACACGAATTGAATATTTTAAAGATCAAATTAATAAAATTGATATTTATGGACCAAACTGATAAAACATGCGTATTTTAAGAACGAAAAATTCTATTAACCCTGAAAAAAAAAGAAAGAAAAAAGCTTGTAAGTGATAAGATTCTCTACAAAGATGATGAACATAACAATGTTTTTTTTGTCATGATAGATCAACCACATTGTGTATTCTTAGGTGATTCACTTGTTTATAGTTGATTCTATGTAAAGTTGGACTAGTTGATTTAGCATTGAGAGAAAATATATTGAAATAGGCATAATAATTCAAGATATATACGACGTAAAATTAACGGATTTGAGGTTAATCTTGTCGGAGTTGGTGGTAAAAGAGTAGACCACAATTTAGCAAGACACGGCTTTTTGTCAAACCTAATTGGATGGCCCTTATTTATGAAAACAGCCCTTTAATGCTCAGTTTATGGGCCCGTAAACGAAGTTGTCTTAGCCCATTTCCTTATCTTCAAAACATGACTGGCCCATTTCAGATTAAATGGGCCTACGTGTTTCTATGGATCTAACCCATGTTGATTGGCCCGCTACAGATTACATGGGCTTATGTGTTTCTATGGACCTAACCCAAGTAGCTATTTCCATTGCCATAACAGTGCTCTGCGTAGCATACGCGCCATACGTGCACGGTAGCCAACTCCGACCAATGGCACTCTACAGTTCAACTGTAACCTCCACACCTAATGTAATTCCCGCCAAGAATGTCGTACGCCTGAACTGCCTTATCCTACGCGTCCCCTGTGTTATCCTACACCCTCATTCTTCAACTCCTTCGCTCTCACTTTCTCCAAAACCCAATTCACCAAAGCCATTGCTTACCCCTCTCAGTGCAACATTACCTCAGAAATGCGTCTACCCTGATCCAATCCCAGAATTCGCCATAGCTGTAACTACTCTCTCTCTCTCTCTCTGTGTTTCAATGTTTACTCGAGTAGATTCTAGATTTTATTAAATTTTGCGATGTGTTTGTCGTGGGTATTACAGGAGACCCAGAAATTCAGGGCTGAGCTTTTGAAGAAGCTATCAGGGGATAGAGATACATATGGAGATGAGCTCGATATTGTTGTCAATGTCTGTGCAGAGGTAGTGACAAATGTCTTCGTAATTAGTTATATTTTTAGCATGTTGTTTTACTCAAGAACGGAATCCATTTCTTGAAGTAAGATTAATGGGCCTGAGCCTTGTGGTCATGTGGAAAAGAAAGCAATATGGTTTCGATGTTATGCTCTGCATTCAAAATAATTTAATTGCTGATGAAACTGATTGAGATATTCCTGTAAAGCTTTGGGCACAACCTACTTGAGATAATGTCTAACTCAAGCCGTGAAGGCATACTTTTCTGCAATACACCATACAGACTCATTTTTCTTAGTATTGAAGACCTTTGTTGCTAGAAAAAAAGAGGTGTGTGAGTAAATACACACACAGAACATATTTTACGGGAAAACTTGGTGCTGGACATGTTTTCTTGTACTTTACCTTAGAAATGATTTTCATGCGGTTGAATGAAGGTATTGACAGTTTAAGTCATGGTTAAGATATTTCTAGTTCTGTTCCAAAATAAAAAACAAAAAGATGTTTCTAGTTTCCTTACATTTGATTTCAATGTTTAGTCGTGCACTACGAAGTGTCCTAGACAACAATACAAAATTCTTGAAAACAAGAATTAAAAAAGCCTAATATATAAACAAATACAAATGTTGTGATAAACATAACACTTGGAGATATAATTGTAATTTGAGAAACTATGATCAGATTATTGAATAGGCTTGAAAATCAAAGATGGGTTGTTAATCTTGTGGGATTTTGCAATGAGTAATAGGAGAATTGAAGCATTTCTTTCATCTTTACTTTCGAAGAGAGACAGATGTAGAGGAGAGACTGCTGACTAAAACTTTTTACTATTTGTCATCCAAACAAAAAAATGGCAGAAGAGAATGAAAATGGAAGACTCCTAGTAATGCATAAATGTTCCTAACATACAAGACACCTTAGTAACCACTATGCTCAAAACCTCTCAAACTTTTAGTCCATTATTGATTTTGAAATGACTCGTAAGATAAGGTATTCACACATATGTGTCTCCGGCGAAGAGGCACCTAGGAGCTAGAACTAAAAGGAGTATGCCCCATTCAAATTGAAATAGAACAGGCACCGAGGAGATAGGATTAAAAGGGGAATGCAATTTCAGATCACATGCTGAGATAATCATCAACTATTTTCTAGCATGAGAAGTGCCAAAAGGTTTCAAGCTTTAGCAACAGAGTGCGTAGGGTTCTTTATTGAGACTTGCCCCTATAGTGAAACAAATCATCGATTATAATCATTTTTCAGCCTACTCTAAACCATTTGATTGACGAGCTTTTGGATCCAGTCCATCTGATCCTGCATTTCTCTATTTCTTCCAATAATGTGACAAAATCATAAATGCACTAACAACATAGTGAGTTTAGAGTTACATTACTTGGAACATGGCCCATTTTATCTCTTTTTGTCCTAAAACCGATTCAGGGTTTGAATGGAAATGGACCTTTTTAATATTGATAACACTTAAATGGTGGGATATCCTTTGGAAAATCTGTGCTGGTTTCCACTACATTGCTGAAAACTTCCACGTAAACTCAGAGAAGAACAGAGATGACTAGTCAGGCACTGCTATAATGTTTATGGGCATTGATTATAACAAGCAATTAATTCCCATGCTCATTGCTTCCCTGCTGGATGATTTTGCACGAATGGTTAGTTAGAATTCTCAGGCATACTGATCTGTTATACTGACATAATGGGTTTAGACAGCTGCTTAAACACATAATTTGCTTTTGTTGATGCTCTTCTGGGGATGTGCCAATTTATAGAATCTGAAATGCAAGAGCTGGAGAGGAATAGTGCTGTTTATTGAACACCTCAAAGCATTAAGTTTGTGAAGAAACTTAATAGAACGTACGGAAGAGAGAAAGGTTGACTTTGTATTTTCCTGTGACCATCTTTGCTTTGCTATCTTTTATGTTATCTCTCAAGGAAATTGGAAATTGCTAGTTGCCATTCTATGGGGTTTCCTTGATGAAACCAATTGTGCTTATTGAATAAGCATGGATGCACACAAATATATGCACTGCTAATAACTTATGGGTTGAACCCATTTTCTTAACCTATTCTTTCTCTTGATTTAGTTCATTGTGGTTTGCTAGTTATGACGGTATAAATTTCATGTTAAATAATGACTTTTATTCTATAAAGAGCTGACCTGTTCTTGACCTTGAAATATTCCAATGATTGACTGACAAAAGAAATTCCTGAACTTACCACAGAACAATCAATGCCATTCAGAAAGCTTACATCAAGCAGTATTAACCTTTTACCCATGTTCATCACAAACTATGGCATTGTCCTGGATATGGACCTATATATGTCGTGCTTTTAAACTGATGGCAGAAAATTTGGATTTTAAGATTAATTATTCATGTTTACTTGTGTAACTAATTTCTTGTGGTGAACTAGATACTTAGTGAATTCTTGCACAAGGACTATGGAGGACCTGGAACATTATTGGTTGAACCATTCACTGATATGTTGGTTGCCCTCAAGGAGAAGATACTTCCTGGAGCTCCTTTGGCTGCTCGGGCATCTCTATTATGGGCTCAAAATAATGTCGATCGGGACTGGGAAGTTTGGACCTCGGATATGCCAAAATGACTCAATCTTCCATTTGCATATGACAAGTAATCTTCTTATTGAGTTTACATATCTGCTCAAACTATTAAGAAAAGTGAAGATGTGGAGGCAATTTTGATTCAATTGTGGAATATTTGTCATGAAACAGTATCACCCCCAATTGCACTTTTCTCAGCTATACAGAGGTAGTAATGCTCAACATGGTTCAAATACTAGTGGTTGACAATGGTATAGGAAAGTCTTAACCGACTCCGATGGATTTACTGTATCTAATTTTTCAGGGTTGAAAGATGTAATTTATGAACAAATTGCAACGATCATTAGCTCCCAGCCTCAGAGATGCTCTGCAAGGAAGGACGCCATGATTTTGACCTCGCTGCTCTTAAGTTTGTTGGTCCTGTCCTCTCCCGTTGTCTTTCGTTTCTCAAAGCCTGCATCTTTCGATATAATTATGACGTTAGAACTCATCAACAAAGTATGTAGATTTTTGGGGAAAAAATGAGATCAGTTTTAGAACTGATTTGTCTTATTAGCCTCCATTATTGAAGGGAATATTAGCAAATCCCTTGCTTTTGCTTGTTCCTACATATTTTTGCTTGGTAACTGCTCTTGGATGTGAAACATGTTCCTTATTTGTCAGATAGTTTTTCAAGCAGCACCATAATTTATTAATGGAAGTGGAACTCAATCTAGTTGCTCTCATCCAGCAGTCTCTCTAAGACTAGCTAGCGCTAACCTATCTTTAACCTATCTATCCTCTTCGCTACCTCTCAACAACAGTAAACTAACTTCTAATTTACCTGTGGATTCAACAAATTGTGAAGATTTTCTTCTAGTATGACTTATTTATTTTTATACATTGGATATATCTACGGGTTTACTTATGAGCCAGACATACAAAATCCTGATTGGTAATTGACTTATTGGCTGAAGAGGATTTACCAGACTGGTTTTTTTCAATTCAAGCCTTTCTGCTTCTGCCTCACAACTTGAAACCTGGTTGACCGGAGCTGTCTGCAACTTCTCTGTCGGTTCTGGCTGGTTATTCTTCATCTTTGCATTTTTCTTCGCTCTCAACACCTTCATAACCTCTGTAATTGGAGAAAACAACCAATACTTCATAACCGGAACATACATAGTTCCTTCAAAGACATGACTAAGAAACTGGAAAAACAAAAGTTTTCCATGATCCTTGAATTGTAGTAGTACTAGGTTGAAGAGCTAAAAAACACAAACCAACCTTGAGAGGTGACAAGGCGATAAGCTCGGCCAAGAACAAGAGTATCACCAGGCCGGAGAAGCTTAACACGAGTGAACCGGACAGTCTTGTCATCGGAATTATCTTCTCCGGCAATGGGCAACGGAATTATAAGAGAAACATAATGTCCCGGATTCATTTTCATTACCTCACTTACTGTCACCGGCCAATACATCCTATCTATCCTCCCACTTGGATGTTGTATTACGAGTGCTGCTGCATCTACAGCCTGACAGTTCCCCATCTCTCTCTCTCTCTCTCTCTCTCTCGATAGATAAAAGAAGAATAAGAAGCAGCTGGCCGGCCCTCCCCTCCGTCCACCAACTACCTTATGGTAACAAATTTAAATTCCCATGACGACTCCACTTAGTGACTCATTTTATACCCTATTGTAATAAAAATACCATTACAACAGGCAGTCATAGGCTTCCATACAGTTACGGGTTACAATTTATGACACAACATGAAACATTACTTAAAATTGACACAAAATTAGCGAATCAAGATCGATTATTTCTCAATACGAACTCGTATATGACACGACCTGTTAATAGAAATAATAAATAAGTTGAGTTAATGTCAAATACGAAATTGACAAGATTAACACGTTTAAAAAATATTACAAGAATAAAATATTAATTTATTATTATATTTAATCAAGTAGTGACCGAATTCTTGTACAAAAAAATATGTTTTTACTCATTTTTATTATTATATTTCTTAAATTAATTTTTAGTTTATAGAAAAAGTATGAACATATGTTCAATTAAGTGATAATAAAATTTTAGATATAAAACTGAGCGTTAAATATTTTATTCATGAGTTATATGGATCAATACGAATATCACACAAAAATAAATAGGTTAACACGACACGACACGAAACAATTAGTTAAACAGATTGAGTTAAGGTTGACTAACGTTCAACACGAATCCAAAATGACACAACATGATATGATTGTCTCCTCTATAGAGCCTATACATACTAATAACTAGTGTTGCCTATTAATCATGTTGTGTTGTGTCAAAATTCATTCAACTCATACTAGACTCACTTTTAATCATCTCTAGTTGAGTTTATATTGTGTCGGATCATATTGCATAGAAGTCGTGTTTAGATGATTCGTTTCATATTTAGTCAAATTCTTCTTGGTCAATCCATTTATTTGATGGGGCGAATATGTTCACTTTTTTACCATTTAAACCTCGTAAGACTAAACTCAATACCGTTAATTTCATGCCAATTTTGTGTCCGTATTTCATGTCCAGCCAACCAATAACACCCAGATCAGATTAATACAAGTAATATATGGTCAGATACAAATATTTTTATATCCGCAACCAATGGGTGCCGGGCCGGCGACGTTCCGAAGATGCTGGCGATATTGCCACGTGGTCCTACGTCAAGGGCGGTGACCTTGGACCGGCATGCTCGGCGGTGTCGACGGAGTCAAGGTTCGGAGTTGGGGACAGAGAATTATTATTAACTTTAATATTGTCAATGCCTAAATAAGAATTAATTATATAATTCCCAAACCAAATCAAAGCATGCGGTTTGAGATTCCATTGTCACCCTCCTACCACCTTATCCGCGTAAGGTACGCCACCTTGGGACTTATTTTGTACCTGTGTGGCCATGCTTGGCTTTTCTCTTATTTTTTTTCCTTTGTAGATTAGCATTTCCATTTTCCTCTTACACGTACGTATTTGGCATATTTTTAGATTGCAAGAGTGTTAAAATTTGATTGGACTTAAAATTTAAATACATATGACTTTATCTACTCGAATCAGCGCAAGATTCTAAAATTATGACTGTTCAAAAGATTGTAACGAGTCGTAAGGTTACCTCCGAATTTTTTTCTATGTTTTATGGTTCAAAAACTTTAAATAATTTTTCAAATAGCAATGCAATGGACTGAAACGTAAAAGGACCACTAGAATGCAAAACAAAGAGTTGACTAAATTGAGAGAATAAAACAAGTATTGCACTAAGCATATGAAAATAATAAAAGATCACCGGAGTGATAGATTATGACAGTTCTCAAAATTACTCTATCCAATTACAGAACAACTGTGTGGTGAAGTCTAGTGGGGACTTTGGGAATACTTAGAAATGTGGGGAAGTAAATGTTAATGTCAGACCAAAAAAAAAAAAAATACAAGATATACGTGGTTCACCTCAACCAAAAGACTAAGTTTAGATCCACTATTAATGAAAACTCTTGCTCCTTGGGGATTGTATTACTTAAGGAAGAAAATGTTGATTACAGTGGGGATTTTTGGAAGCCTTTTTACACAGTATTTCTCAGATAAAACTATGAAACTCCCTTTTTTATAGTGGCTTTGTCTTCTATTTATACACTAGGCTCTCTAGGGTTTTTGTAATTCTTCCTTATTTGGTTGATTCTGTGATCCCCTCCTCCTGAGTTTACGTATGCTCTCTCTTAGCATTTAACTCTCTCTCCTCCTCCTCATCTAGCACATCCTGCACATAATCGATGCCTCAGGTAGGGGGCACCTCCTGTCTAGCCACCGGGGCACCACTATGACCTTGACTTCGTCATAAAGAAACCTTGTTAAGTGGTCCCATCAACCTCTGTATCGTCATCTCCGGCCTCACCCTAATCCCATGATCCTCGCACATCTCCGTCACCAAGGTGCCAAAAGGGAGCGAGTTCCTCTTCACATCACATCCCTTCTTTATCTCTATCAAAATCAACGATGGGAGGTCTACACTATTGCTTTTCTCGATTGCGTATAGGAACCGGGCCATCTCGGGGAGGATTTCGTTCTTTCATCCGATTAGGGCAAAGTTCGAAACTGCGATAAAATTCAACATTTTATACTTATCGGTCAGTTTTCCTTGTCGAAAAAATCTCCGCCCCACCCAAGAAAAAATAGCCATCCCCATTTGCTCTGCCCCCGCAACCTTCATCGCCACGTTCTTCCTAGGGAGGTAGGTAGGCCTTGGTACCCGAGGCACCTCTTGCCTCATCTCCCGTATGTAATCTTCATCCACATCAATATGAGTCCCCTTCACATAGCTTTTTATCACCTCATTGACTATTTCGGCATTGGAGTAAAACTCCTTCACCAAGTCAACCACAGCCTCTCCGCTGTTTCTCAAGTACAACATCCATCCCCTCTTCTCCATATCCTTAAAAATACTCAACTTAGCAAAATCAGTCAATATCAATGTTCATTCACACACTACGTCTTGATTTTGGTAAAAGTTCTCATACATGTCCGCTTTGAGGGTGTTAGGGACTCCAGTCATATCTTTAGCACAATGGGCCTCCCCCCCCCCCCCTCTTCAATGACTTTTCTACCATGTTAGGCTTTTGGTTAACTGGGGTGCGCCTAGCAGGGAGCTCATTCTTGGAGGTATGGTGTTCGGATTTGGGGTGTTGGGGCTTTGAAAGGTTTAATGTTTTTGTGAGAATGATGATGAATAAGGTGGAAATGCATTTGGGTTGTTTGATTTTGGGTGGAAATTGGCAATAGATGGAATTTGAGGTTTGGGTAGTGAAATGTCACCCTAGGGTTTGGAGTTTTTTTCAAGGGTTTTGGGGTTTTTGAAATGGAGAAGACGAACCAGGCTTTTATAGCCTAGGAGTGAATGCTCGAACGTTAATGACGTTTGAACATGCGTAGAAGAATTTTAAAAGGATGGTTTGAACGTGCATTGGCGTTTGAACATTGTGAGTTCTCAATACTTTGGGTTCTGTCAGAGGCTAAAGTACTATGAGCAATTGTCATTCAAACGTGAGCTTTTGGTTCAAACTCCCTCTAGGCATTCGAACGCTTGGAGGTCCCAATACTTCTTGTGTTTTTATCAAAGTCCAAAGTATTGTGAGTAGGTTATGTTCGAACGTAACATGGCGTTTGAACGTCAAAGTAAAATATCAAAAAAAAATTATGCAAATTCATGTACACATTAAAGGAAAGGTATACATACAAATTTGATCTAAAAATTCATAGCGTCTCAGGATAAGTTTCTACCCACGCTCACGGTTAGTATTCTAGGACAGTCCTTACTTCACCCATTTTTTTCATTTCAGTCAAAAGAATTTGTACAAAAAAATTTTTTACATTTTTTACAAAAATTTGGACCCTTGGCTATTATCCCCACAAAAACACAATTTTTCACATTTTTTTAAAAAGTAATCTAATCTGATTCTTCCTTTGTCTCTATGTCATTCGAACAACCAATGACTCTCCCAATTTCCTGTCTCACAAACCAGTTAAGAAAAGTACCAGAATAGCATGGTGTCTCAGGATAATCCTTATTCAACACATTCACTATCCAGTCTAATCGATCGAGTGCGCGACCGAAAATTGATTTAGAATACTGATTATATCTTTTCATGTGAAAGACCCTGCCACATTGTTTACAGGCACCAAGCCTTTTGGCACGATGGCGTTTAGCAAAAGTGTTTCTGTCACAGAGGGGTTTCGCTTGCTCTTCTAGGATCTCATTTTTTCTTACCAAACTTATTTTTTTTCATGATTACAACATGCACATCAGATGAAAAAGTGCATAGAACTCCAAGACTAAACCAAAAAAGTTTAACATCCGTGTTTTCTAAACTTTAAGACTCACTATCTGGTTATTTAACGTCTGTCAGTCACAAAGACAATTGAAACTGACTTATAGACATTATCATCAATTTATACGAAAATACGAGGCAAGGTACAAAATATGATCAAAAATAGCAACAACAACAACAAAAATAAAAAATTTTATGGGCACAAAATTTGAACTGTAGTTCTCACCCCCCAACCTAAACTGAATATTGTCTCTAATGTTTCAAGTTTACCAATGTATGAAACTTGAAGATGAGGTTGACAGGTAGAGATTTATTCATCTACCGAATAATACAAGCAAAATTCAACCCAATTGGTTTTAAGTCAAAAAAAAATTGAATTTGGGGAGCGCTTATTAGTCATTTTCTATTTTTTTTTTCCATTTGGGGGTATTTTTGTACTATTGTATATCTGCTTGTGTTTTTAGTAATTTAGTACCATTAGGATTTCTCATTTATATTGTGGTCAAAAACATATTCTACAGCTTTTGATTATTTTAAAGTGAAATTCATAGACGAGTTCTCTTTTAATTTCAATTGTCTTGGTATTCTTAGAAATCAACTAGACTCTTGAAGTTAGATAATCTTATATTATTATTACAATAATCAACAAATTATAATTTTTGTTGTCGTCTGACCCAAATTTTCTCTTCACACTTCCTTATATCAATATGTTTGACCCAAAATCTAGCTTGTACAAGATGACACAAGTTAAAGCATGAAAACTTTTAAAACCGATTCTAATGAAATACTACACATTTCCCAAGAATAACACATGAGATCGAGTTTCACCAGTCGCACAACAGTTTTTATCCTCTTTCTTAAGTAATCTAGGTCTAATATTGTTGCATATTAAAAAAAAAATTTCCAAAAACCTTAATATCATTGCATGCAAATCATTGATTACTATAAATTTGATTCAAATTCTGACGATTAGAATTCCCAGGTTTGAAAATCTTCTGTTTCACATGAGTAAAACATCTCTGATAGATGTCAGCCTATGTAAGCCATGTGAGCCATTGTGGACCTTGGGGTCATCTAATTAATGAAAAATTGACTATTTCTTGTTTAAACATGACCTTTGTAGGGAACTCCAACCATTAATATTAAATGAAGTGTCTTAAATTCATTAGCAACACTATTAAGACTTTATTTAATAACTTAATTTATTAATTTAATTCACTATGGTCTTTAAATTGATTACGGGTCCTATCAAATATTAAAATTTGGTGTTGATCTAATAGTTACAATGAAGCTACATCATTAGGTCAATAAATTAAATCAAATTTTTAGGTTCAAGTAACATTATTCTAACTTCATATGTTCATGTAGTGTGGCTAGGGGTGTTAATCGAGAAAAGCTACTTGGGCCCGGGTTTGAATAGGACTCGGATCGAGCTCGATTTGTATTATAAAAAAGCTGAGCTTGAATAATTTTTTTAGACTCATTTAGAAAAACAAGTCTAAAAAGGTCGAATTGAGCTCATAAAGTTCGGTTTATTTATATGTAAAATAGTTGAACTATTCGGGCTCGGCTCATTTTCTAAATAAACCTAGTTTGAAGAATTTTTTAGATTCATTTAAAAAAATAAGCTCGACATACTCATACTCAAGCTCACAAAATCAGCTCGATTAACAGATTGGGTGTGACAGCCATTGATAGTAAACCATGGGATCTTATTGTTCTACTATTTGGGCAGCTTTTAATATGAAAGTAGTGGCATTCAAACTCTTCTTTGTTCATCTCTATTGTTAGGTCTTAATCTATGTCTGTACCTAGTCTTCTAAAACATTCTAAATTCTAGTTAAAACCTCTCTCAACCTAACAAAATGGAGTTTTTAGAGGCAGCCTTGTGAGTGGGGTATACTTTTCTTTTTGTGAAAGGTATGGTCTTATAGTACTTCTCTCCACATTCCTTCACTATAATACAAATCATAAGTATCAATGCGGGATATTTTGAAAGACTCAAAACGCTGGTGCATTATTTTGAAAGATGTTATTCTATCGACTTGAGACAAAATACAGTACGAAAGACTAAGTGATGAAGAAATGTTGAGTTTCCATTGAGATGAGGATAAACTTAGTGATATTCTAGTTAGAAGTGCCGTCAAAAGACTCAAAACCCACAAGATTTTTTTTAAAAAAAATCCTTAAATTATTAATAAATATGTGTAATCAAATGTAAACCAACCCGAAATCCAAAGTTTGTAGTAGTTTTTAATTCATAACATGGTTATGGTTGCCGAACAACAGTCAAAGAAATGGGCTAGTTAGACCAGTACAATCTGTGATTAAACAAAAACTATAGAGTACTGCAGTGCCTTAAAGTTGGTAGATATAAATTGGAATGATACATCAAAGATTAGTATAGCTTTGCGTAAGGATGACACGCGTAAATTGAAAAATTGTTCGATTTTTTAACTTTAAATGGTAGCTCAAATGATAATAAGGATAAATTATAAACTCGGTCTTGAGTTCGAATTTTGGCAATCTCTTTGGACCAGGCCATGAAGAATTTATCCCTCATAAATACCCTAGTCCTGACATGAATGACCTGTCTTTGATTGGATTAGGGAGAAAATTAGTCAAGATGCGGGTAAATTGTCTTAGACACCCTTAATCGTTGAACAAAAAAAAATAATAAATTATTCCTTAATTTATTTTTTACTTTTCATTGGGACTCTTCAAGAACACATAATATAAAAGATAAATGATTAGTCATGAATATATTCTCCATTATCTAATAGAGCATGTAATGGTCCTTTTAGAAGAAGATAATGCAGCATCTCCCTGCTCACTTTTAACCTAAAAAGAAGAATCAAACTTTAACAATGTCGATGGAGACTAATCTTACAAAGAAGGGCCATATACATCTAGTGCATGATACGAAACATGAAAAAATTTTATAAATCATTAAGCTTTTTAAGAAGAAATTAAATATAAAATATCCTCTTTATGGAATTTTCCAATCGCTTCCCTCTTGATTATGATCAGATTATGTTCTGATTTATATTATAAAATATCAATCGATACTCATATTCGAGTTGATATTATTTCTTGTGACGTACAAACTCAGAATTTAACACGACTTATTGAGTCATTTGAATCTTTTTCGTGTTAAACATTAATGTCGCTGAGTTACTATTATCGAATCGATCGATACACCATTTCACAACACCGTGATATAACATGAATCTCTATTATTGATTAGCCAGATTAGGCAGCAGGGACGTGTTTGTGATTTGGGTGAATTGGAGAGATGGACACAAGAAGAAGTTGTGGTGGTCACCTTGCCAACAATACGATCAGGATTGTATCACATCAATGGCTGCACTGCCTCAGTTTTAAGAGACACCCAAACAGATCACAAGGCAATAATTCTTATGCTTTAACAGAAGATCTAGTCTAGTTTATATGCTAATCCATTTCAGTGGCAATAATGATATAAACATCACCTTTGTCTACTATCTTACTTGTATTATCGCATGATCTAAACATTGATAATTTAATAAAGTTAACGGAACCCATTAATCTAATAATTCACGTTGAATTGTGCACAAAAAATGATAAGTATAACATTGTTGTTTAGTGGTTGGTTCAAATCTAATTCCCCTTATACCAATCCATACTTGTGCTTTGTTCTTGATACCCAATTGCATTTTTTAACCCCGTCTTTTCCTTTGATTTTGAAGGAGGGAAGAAAACAATACCAAAGAGCCTCTAAGTAATTCCAAAGATGATGTGACTAGATTCAAGATTTGAGAACTTTATTTCCTTTATTTGGTTGGGGAAAAGTCATATACAAAAAACAAACAAAACAAAATTTTAGCTAAGATATTATAAAATTCATGAGAGTCAAATCTTATAACTAAGATTGATAATTGAGTCGAGTCTATCGAACTTATTTTTCTAAACAAACTTAAAGAATTATTCAAGTCGAACTGAGTTAAGGGCGAGTATCTTGACTTGACTTAAGTAACCGACTTGACTTACCATCAATTATAAACTGTTATATCACAAGTAATATTATTTGACGATAGTAAGTCTATCCATTTTATATTAGTCCTTATTTTTTTTTTACCAATATTCCTCCAACGTAAAAACTAATAGCATAGACATGAGAATTCTATACACGACCCTCGGATATTACACACATTACATGGAGTTGACGCAAAATTATGAGTTTGCATTTAGTCTCAAAAAATTTTAGTGAATCTGTTAGACTTGTCAAATAAACTGATCAATATAAAAAAAATTAAACATGATACGGACCCGCTAAAATAATTCAAACATATTTATGTATGCTGACATTTTGCCAGCCAAGCCTACACAGATTCTTTTGCCAGCCAACCTACACAGATTGCCTTGGTAGTACTCATGATGTAGATGGAAGAACCCAACGGTCCAGCCCAGTTACACTCGTATAGGAAGGCCACTGCCTCTAGGCGGTTAAAAAAGGCTCCGCAAATGGGTCACCCAGTTAAATGTTCAATGGCCCACGGCCTAACCTGCTAGTCTGGCAGTCCAGTGGACCCTCCGGCGGCACATGTCAGTCCAAATACACTAATCTTACCGGTAAGGGTCAATCGATCCGAATCTTTTGAACTTAATTATGCTTAGACTCGATTCGTGCTAATCAAGGATCGTTCAAATTCAGCTCGGGCTCGGTTATCGAGTTTCAAATATTGTTTAAACTCGGCTCAAACCAAATTCGAGCCAAAAACAAGTTATTCAAAAAAAAAAATTCAAATCCACAAATTTTAAATATCCATTCAAAAAATCTCACAAAAATGTACACAAATACAAATTTTAACATAAATATGAACATAAAATACCTCTAAATCACAAAAAAAAATATACAAACTTAAAAATTTTGCTAATTTTACTAAAATAACAATAAGATCTATAATAATCTATATATGTATATTATATACAAGTAGAAAAATGAGTTGACCCACCAATAATTTGGACTCGACTCGGCTCGGTTCGAATACTAAACGAGTATAAATATTTGTTCAAATCCGTCTCATTTTATAATATGGGTGAGCATAAATCGAGCCACTCACGAATCGCCCAAATCGTTTAACAACCCTAGCTATTAGGACATTATTTAAGAGCATAATACATTGTAAACAATTAATTGATAATAAATTTTATTCAATGCTATGACCCATTAATGTTAGAAAATAGATGCAATGTAGCCTAATTCAAGAGTAAAAATTAAGATTGAGAGCTAGAAAATGGGGCCACATTGCACATGTTGAAATGGGCCCAATTCTTTAAAGGTACAAATTAAAAATCGGAGTATCCTTTAGGATGCAAAATGAGATTAACTTTTTTTTATTTGTGTTGGTGAGACAACACCTTGTTTATGATAGGACAAATGAACCCAATAAATTGCCTCAACTCTCTCTCTCTCTCTCTCTCTCTCTCTCTCACACACACACACACACACCTGCAAAACATAAGCAAGAGATGCTGAAAGCACAAGAGATGTGTAAGAACTTTACCGAATTAAATTATACTCCAGCACCAGTTAGACACAAGGAATAAAAGGGAACAACTGCCCAGACTTCTGTATAAAGAAAAAGATTCATGTATATAGCTTAGTTATACGATGTTTGAACAACACATTAAACAAAAGAAACTGGATACAGATGATTGAATTGTATTACCCATAATGAGCTATGGTCGGAGCATATCGATATCTGATCACATTGCTTTGAACTCCATTCCCTAAATCACACAGATGGGAAAAACTTGTTGAGATGGAATGGCAAGGAATAGAACTCTTCGCTCCTTGTATCCGTCTTGAATGATCTGAACTTGTCCCACCATTGCATTCCCCTGTCCTTCCTAGTTGCGCTGTCTTTCCGACGCAGTGTAACGTCTAGGAAGAGTGCCAACATGCCAGCAACAAATGGTGCCGATGAGAATGGCACGTTGATCATATCATTGAACTGCAAAGTGATTGAAAAGCGTCATGATCTCCGGGTGGGGAAAACAGAGATTACAGTAAAGAGGATTATAGTAGTTCATTACCCATCTTGCTCCAGTGTGGACAGGACTAAAACCATTCACTGCAGTGTACTCATTGAAGTACTGTGGTATTGACAAGCCCATAAAAACCGAGAATGCTACAATAAACTTTGTCCTAAAGCTGTTCAGATTGCAAAACTGGAGGAAACTGAGACCTGCTGAACCTGTCCGCGCATAATTCTAAAAGCTATTAGATTTGAATGGTTACACAATCAAACGAGCCAGCCACATCAGTTGATAATACATACCCACGTATGCGAAGAAAAGACAATACATAGCAGCAACAATTGGTGCTGGAATTGAAGCAAAGACAGCTCCAAATTTTCCTGAATAGACATGTATATTTGACATGTTTACTTGAACTGAGAACAAGTGAAATCGAAATTTGTTTGACAGCATCTGGAATGTGAACAACTTACCAAGTATGGAGAAGAATATCATAAAACCAGCAGATATCTGCACAACCCTTCGGCTGCCAACGCGTGTTAATGCCAGCAAACCAGCATTTTCACTGTAAAAAAAAAAGTCAATACATATGCTAATCATGATTTGAAATTTTGATCTACAGCATTAAATGTTACTTCTAAGAAAATGAATTTTCACAAGAGGCTTACACAGATACTGATGATCCATTCCCGGTACCAAATATTCCAGAGAACAATATGCCCACCCCCTTAGATACACAAACACATGAATTTCTTTAGAACAGAAAATTAGCAATAACCCAGATTTAGATTTAGCAAAGCATAGTATTCTTTTGGCAAGGAGAAAATCCACTAAATTGTGACATCAAATACAATCCATTTCTTTACTCTTTTCCATTTAATCATGTAGTGAGGTGTCAAGAAGGGTGAAAGATTGATCAGGTGACTACTTTGGGGCATGTATAAAGCAATCAATTATTGAGTCCATTTACCTGCCAACCAACACCACGGCTAAGAATAGAAGGTGGCGGAGGAGTTGCACTCGCATATCTCGACACAGCAATGAAAGCACCAGTGGACTGTTATAGCAGTGTAAAACATATGTAAGCAGCAAGTCAATTATAGCCTAGTAAACATCATCAAGAAATGCCAACTATGACCATCAAATATCCAACCACCCATACAAAAGCCAGCAACACTCACCCTGAGAAAACTATTCTACAAGACAATCTCATAAACCAGGCAACATTAAAGCTACTTAGAATGCCTAAGGAAAACAAGATGAAAAGAAGTATCAGAGTTTCTATGAACCAACAGCAAGTGGAAGCAAAAGCAATGAGGCATAGGAGATGATGCTAGGAAATGATAATTAGATGGAGTTGGAAAAATGTGAGGCATCTCGTGTTTAGTTCACAAACAAAAGTATAAAGTGAACGAACCTCAACAAGAGCAACAAAGGAAGTGGCCATCATAGCAAAAGATTCTCCAGCATCAAATGTTGGAGCTCCCCACTGAAATGGATATGGGACTCTTATCCTGCAAAACAAAGTGCAATGTAATCATAAGTATAATCTCAGTAGCCAAATAAGACATCCACCATGTCTTTGCGTCCTTAAGAACTCATGATAATGGCTTAACTACTCATTCACAATAGATTTTACCACTCTTTCTTATGTAAGGTATTTGCCAATAAGCATTCATCTCTGGTCCCAAGTATTGGTCCCATTGGACTTCTTATGTAAATGGTACCAATGCCCCCATGACTAGATAAAACATAATAACAAGGTCTTCAATCCTAGACCCTCAAGTTGCAGTGAAAGAACTGGCCTTACCAGGGAGAAGCACCTATAATTCCAGCACGATCTGTTCGGCAGCTTATTTGAGTCTTTGCTGATGTGTTCTTATATGCGCCACCAACCGTGAGTAGATGAGCATAAATCCACACAATCACGACCGAGAATAAAACAGCGAAGCGGTCAAAGACATGACCTTCCTTGCTAAAAAGATGGGGTATGAACTGCAAAGAACATTGCAATAATTAACACTGGCATTAGAGGTGAGGAAAAGCATTGACAGTTTATTTACGATGTCACAGATTCTGATTGCAAAAGGTACTTTGAGATCAAAATTATCATTGCTATAAGTCCACCAGGAAAAATTGGTTTTAGGCGATATAGAATTGAATTTTACCTGTGAAAAGATTACTAGGAGTATGAGCTCCGGAAGTCCAACCTCCATGCATTTTGAAAGCTAGATAATCGATTAAAGAGTCAATAACCACAAGTAATAATTCATAACATTGCAAAATTGAGAGAAGAACATGATTGCTATGGACTTTGATTTTCTTAATCTCATAAAGCCCCATAAACGCATACCAGAGGAAAACCAAACTCATAGAGCCCAAATCCTGTTAGAGCTACCAAAGGAACTGCAGATAGTGGACTCAATAACCTGAACAATACATGAATAAAAATAATTAACAGAAAATCTTAACCTATAAAGAATTCATAACTTCAACTAAACCATGTTAAAAGTATCCGTCATTAAGTTTCTAATTCTTCTAAGCCTACACTGTTAATAGAGACTACCTTATGCCAGACACGTGTCAAACCCCCTATGAGATTTGGAAAGGCAAGAAGTCTAATATGAAGTATTTACGAGTTTTTGAGAGTAAGTGTTACATCTTGAGAAATAGAGAGAACTTAGGCAAACATTGTTATGGAATTGTATAGATTCAGCAAGTTACTCTGGTTGGAAGAAAAAGATTCTTAACCCACCTTGTGACATTGCGCCAAAGGCCACTAAAGCCAAGGACAATCTGAAGAGTTGAAGCAACAATAAGGGCTCCCTGGATTCCTCGCATTATCTTCTCAAATTTCTGGGTGAGCAGCAAAAAATAGGGATCAGTTGACATGAATGCAATTGATTGCATGTAATAAAACTAGTGAGGGTTCGTCAGTCAACCTCCTGAGGATTCAGAATGCCACTATATCGACCAGCCAAGACAATTGAGAGGGTTGTAGGCACAAAAGTATAAGAACCTCCAATGATAGCAGGTAATCGGGTCCCCAAAAATGACTGAGTCAATGTATTCAACCCAGCCACAAAGAGTAGTGTCTGAATCATCTTTGCTTTCTCTTCCTAAGAAGAGCAACCATTGATTTCCCATTAGTTTCATAAAAGCTTGCATAATTTACAATGAGACAACATAGAACCTTAAGATTTATCAGAACTGTTGCAAAATTTTCTATGTTAGCTTACATTTCCTATTTTCTATGTTAGAGCTCGCATTTCCTATTTCAATGTTAGAGCTTACATTTCCTCCTCCCATCTGCGGAACCAAAGTAGAGGGAATCAGAACTGTTGTGCCAAGCATCACAAGATAGTGCTGGAACCCAAGAAGTATTGCCTCAGCTGCATTGCCAAACACCCCCAACACACAAATACAATAGTCAGATGCAAAAAACTACCATAAGAATTACAAAAAACACCCAAAGATCAATATAAATTATTTGTCTAAAAAATGAAAGTGTTTTGCTTACCCATTAGGGCCCTATCAAAGCCACCAATTCCAACAGAAAAGAGTAATTTTTTTTGCTGTTTGAAAGGGTGGACAGGGGCGACCAGACATAGCAACCCCTTAGAATGTTCCCACCCGTTGTAGAATATTTGGTTTAAGTCATACTTACTAACTTGGGATGGTCGAGCCCGTCACTACAACACTACCGAGGGTAAGTTGGACATTCAGCCCCTCCAGCAGTATCTGGTTCACAAGGACTACTACTGCAAGCAGGTTCAAACTCATGACCACTGGAAGAGGGCAGGACTTTCACCCTCCACTAAAAGCCAACTAGGCTAATACCTTGGAGGTAACAGAAAAGAGTAATTGCAAAACAAGTGATTTGACATACAAGAGGGGAAAAGTGGGTTTATGAAAACTGAAAAATTAAACCAGCCCAAGTTACCGCCACTGACAAAGCTTTGTGGATCAGTACCTAAGAAATTCTAAGTTGAGATAGAAAATATGCAAATGTCAGTAAAGAAGGCTCTAAAGGCAAATGTACATATATACATACAGATTTTACAAACGAATGTCATTGTGTATGAAAAGCTGAGAATGAAGGAAACTCACGCCAAGGTGGGGGACTGGTGATACAGTAAGAAACGTTGGGCAGCTGATCTTTAACTGGATGTGGCTGCAACTCATCCTGTTTGGGCGGTGGTGCAAGTCCTCCTCCTCCTCCTCCTCCTCCTCCTCCTCCTGCCATGGCTCCACTTCTTCCTTAACTCTCTCTCTCTCTTACACCAAATCTCTACACAAAACCCAAATCCCAAAACTTCCAACACCCCACAAAAAATTATAAATATTCACTAAAACCCAGAAATCTCAATCCGCAAAAACACCTCTTGCCACCCCCCACAAAACCAGCTCTACTAAAACCAACCCAAATGTATGTAGAACAGTAAAATTGTAGAGCTAACACTCTTAATAGGATAAACTACTAGTATGAGAATGATAAACACTCTAGTCTCTAGCATAAAAGGCCTCTGTTTTTTCTCCTGCACTGAAGAAACTATGAAGAGCTTTGAGTTTAGTAATGTGCTACAGCCTAAACATAAGGAATCCAAGTAAGCATAAAAGTGCAAAGATTGCTGGAAGGAGGAAGAAAAAGAGTGAGAGATAGAGAGGGAAAAAGCAAGCAAACCCAAAGTGAGAAAGAAACAAAAATACCTCCTTGTAACCCTTCCAAGGGAATCTCTTTTTCTTCCTTCACATATTTAAATTCGTTAGGAGGGGTTGGGGGTTTGCAGTCTAAACACTTCTTTTTCCTCTCTCACGTAAAAGATAAAGTAAGAAAGCATCTCCACCGTCACCTTTACCACTCTCATTACTCTTAGCCTTAGTCATGCTCTATATAGTACACATACACTAAATACATATATTTCTGAGCAAACTTTAAAACATACATTTAGTTAGAAAGCTCTGTAATTCTCTCTTTCACACCCAAAATAACATGTCCCACTACACACAAGACAGACAGGAAAGGGATGGACAAGGAAATCAATGATCAATCAACCACACATTTGAATCAATGGCATTGAAACTTGGAATAGTGATTCGTTGAGAAAGAACATTCATGTAATTTCAATACATTAGGTTGCCCTGTGTGTGTGGCAGTGTGTTCTTTGTTAGAATGAGGTTTTGAAAGTTGTCAAGTTATAGAGAAAATGGCAGCAGACCAGGCCATTTTTCTTTTGTCCTATGCTCTCTCTTGTAAAGATAGTTCAGTTGCAAACCTTAAAGAGTCAAACAAAGAATTTGATGATGTTGAAGATTTTCCATGGCTGTTTTAGGCCTTTTTCTCTTTCAGAAAACAAGAGTTGTGTTGGTGTTTCGTTGTGTTTTAGGCCATTGCATGACACTTGGGATTGAGCTGTCTGTCTCTATGTTGTGCATGCATGGACACTTCTGGTGCTACATATCAAATCCTTCATCTTTTGGGGGTGGCCAAGACTCTTTTTAATTTGTACTCAAAACGAAGACTATGGTTGTATTTTGTTTGGCACTTGACAAAATTTACTCACTTGATAATTTGGTATCTTTATTCCAATTTTAGCATTCACTAGGACTTATTTTTCAATCTGTTGCATAAAAACATGATTGAAATCAATGTTTTTTTAAATGTCAACGTTCTACCGAATGTGTTTTTTAATGTAAAAACATGTATTTCTCAAAACTAAATTTCAGGTGAGAGAAACTTTTTTTCTCTCACTTGTATTAGTGATTTCATATGGTTTCTCTTTTTTTTTTTTTCTCTCTCTCTCTGGTAGTTTCAGGTGGTGGTGGTGGTGGTCGAGAATAAAAATATATTTCAAAATACGACAAAAATAATAGCGGTTGTTTAAATTATTAAATTTAAGGTGGATTTTAAGGAGCTAAATTAAGAGTGGGAATAGGACTCCATTGTCAAAATTATAAATATGAATCTTTACGAGAGTGCCAATAATCTTCGAATATACTTTTCTTGCTTCCTTCCAAATTACTGCTTCTTCCAAGTGCTAGTTTTAGTGTTAAATATACAAATGCCAAAACACCCACAAAGCATCGATGCCGGGACAAGATCAACCACACATTTACGCAAATGGTTTGTGTATCAAATCATTTCTGCGAATAAGATACCAATGTAAAACGTCCACTTGGTCATCTTGAGATTTACTTCTACCCTGACACTCCACAGGCATATATACTCACGCACATCGTGTATTATATTAAGTTTATATCATATTCAAGTTTTATCGTATAAAAATTTACTTAATTCATATCCAATTCATTTATTATTTATGTCATTAAACTAGGTTCATGACGATCCATTTATTTTATAGGTCTAACGACTAGACGAATTATTTATCAATCTACGACAATTTTAAACACAAAATTACTAAATTGTGATACTTTTTAACTTATTTACCAAATTACAATACTTAAAAACGGGATTGTTGACTACATTTCTAAGAGTAAATTCATTGACCTTAACATCTCCCCTTTGCATCTGACTGAAACACTGAATAATATTTTCCAACCATCGATTAAAAGTGGGTTGAAACTGCACAATCATCTTTGAATGCCAGAAAAGTATTACAATCCACTTTACAGCAGAGTTGCAGTATTGCTACAGTGGCCAATCAGTTCAAAGATGCCACCATCAATGGCTTAATGCACTACCTTATTTGGTTGGCCAGGACTGAGCAAGTGCCCTGTGGTGTAGAATGGCTTCATACTTTTCATGAAGAAAAGGAAAAGGAAGGAGACATGCATGGCGTAAAGAACAAACAAAAGTGCCATTTGAACGCATTTCATAGACATTCATACCCATACCCATACCCACAAAAGATATTAATAAATATGAAAAAGAATCTAAAGTAAGGGTTTCTCTTGGTCTTACAGTCAGATTGAACCACCAATACTATCTCCACATCTCAAATTTGAGTTTTGGGAGAGTTTTTGTTCATACAATTTATCATTTGCAGGTGAAAAATGCCATCTTTTGGGAACTAAAATTAGAAATGTTCGGTGGGTCTTGCACTAAGGTTTTCATTCTTGCATAATGCATGCATACATAGGTCACATTCTCGAAGAATAAAGGGCAAAGGGATAGATCAAGAAAGATCTAAATCTTCTGGAACATACATAGTGAGAAAAAAAAAAAAAAAACTCATCCCATTAGGATTGCAAAATGTTACCAGATCATGAGAGCATAAAAACTATGAGCATTTGACCATCAATTTCAGAATAAGACAGAAAATGATCAAGTGACAACATAACAGATGATGGAGAAACTATCCATCAAAATCCTATCCACTCACTAGCACACTCTTCTTCATCCTTTTTTTAATAGATAAATAAAATTATTATCACAAAAGTGCTTCAACAAAGCATTTCTACCCCTACCCATGAAGTTTAGCAACATTTTCATATTGTCTAGATAACAAAATTGCTAGTCCACGGAACCATGACGTTTACCCATGAAGTTTAGCAATTTCTTAATCATGATTATTATAATAACTGCACAACAAATAGCAACACACAGACTAGTGAAGGGTCTAATATATATAAGCATGTCAGAGTAGAATTGTTTTTAGTGTGTCCATGGCACAGACAACTGCCCCAGATAATATGCCTGGGCAGCACTCACAGTCACAATTAGACATCAGCAAGCAGATAGTATAACCAAAGAATAGCAAACCAGTAATGAAATTCAGAATCTTTATTAATCCCAGCTTTGAAGTGTCTTCACCGATAGATAGTAAAATTCTTCTGAGGTGAGGTTGGGTAAAACCTATATGGCCATCACCCCTTATACCTCAAGGTGCTTTTCCCAACAAGGTAATGATGCACAGGCATAACCATCACTGACCAGGATTACGAGCTTGCAACCTCTTCCTTTCAAACTCAAGCTAAATGGAAGAAACAAAAACATAAATGAAAAAACAAAAAAATATTCCCCCAATTAACCTTCAGGAAATAAATGAGTCTAGTAGCCATTGTGAGTGTCTTACCACTTTCCGCACCCGCTCATTGGCAGCAGGAGTTCCTCCAATGACTGATTCAGGAAGATATGGACTTGTAACACGCACTTCCTTCAGCACAACTATGGCAGTCTTGTCCCACATTACCGGAAGCCTGATAACACAGCTGACGATGTCAATATCAGAGAACTGCACATAATTAACGGATAGGATAACATGTGTGAAACTAATAAACTAGTTTTAGAGTTCTGGAAAAGTATCACATTTGACACTCTAACAGCACTGAAAAACAATAATGCAATCAAGATCAAGGGGAAGGTCTTACACAACACAAGTTATAACTGAAACCTTACAGTTTCCAACTTGGGCCTGTGCCTACACACCCTAACTCTTCACTCACAGACTTAAATTTTCTGAAATGAAGAAGAGGCAGAAATGCATCTACGGAAACCTAATTTTCTCAAGCAACTACGAAGCACGGATACTCTGTTTAGGTCAAAATATCTATATAGTTGTCGGATATTCAAAGACACTTATCAGAACGTATCCAGTACATAATAAAAGTATATAGGTTTCAAGTATCACATATTTGAAGCCTATATGGTAGCAAATGCCCTCAAATTCTCATATAATGATACAAATTCATATCTTTAAAGACACGTCGATGTTTCTTAAGTATTATCTACTACCATATGTTTAACATGATACAAAAATAAGTTAATTACACTTTATCTCTTAGAAAGAAGTACTTCAAAGCAATCCAACTAGTTAGTGTTGGGTTCTGGTTCCTCTAATTAACCACATTCATTTTGTTGGTACACTATGGTAAGACGATTTGTGCTTCTTTGAAAGTAAGATTTCTTTATTTTGGAATTGTTAAAAAAATTACTATAAGTTGTAATTATCAAATGGTGCGATTATATCTATACCCTAGCTTTTAGATTTTTTCATATCGTTGTATCCATGTCTTATAGTACTCATATCTCGTACCATTATCTGTGCTAGCAATTAGAGAAGATTACAGTGAAGAAACCTCCTACCCTTGCTGATTGTTCAGTGGAAACCCATTGGTTACAAGTCCATTACTTAACGAAGGATTGGTAAGTGCTAGTGTAGGCCCAGAAGTACTTTTGCACATAATGTGACGTAGAATTTTCCTATAATTCCATACTATATAAGGGGTTAAAGATTTGGATTGGCTCGAAAAAAGTATACGGTTGACCTAAGGTTCGTGAAATTAGTTTAAGGATGCTTTGCCAGGGCTGATTGAAGGTTTGTATTCATGATTTGAATCAAGAATAGCAGAGAGCTTCTGCATACTGCAACTAATGAGAGAAAAAAGAAGAGAAGAAGAGCAAGAAACCTAGGCCACCATGTCTCGGGTTACCGAAGCAATCACACTCCAAACTAGAGCATCAAAGCTAAAACTTTTCTATTACCCTTTCATGAACCTCCAAAAAAATATAAAACTCTTCTATAGCCTTGTAAACCCACTTCAAATTAATCATAGCCCTCTACTTCAAATTAATCATAGCCCTTGAAATAATCTCACCTCCACCATCAACATAAGCAAAATCAAGAGTCCAAAAATAATATACGTGTTCTTCACTAATGCTGTTATGAAAGACCCTGACAACCCAGATTCGACTTCCACCTACACTATTACAGTATATAAGCAGAAATGTGCAAGTTAAAATCATCTGCTCCGATTCTTGTACTGTGACAATTTACATGATATGGGACATGTTTGGGGCTTCAATATCAATTGTTTTTTCTCCACCTATTGTAAAAACGGATAAAAATAAACATCATGCATGCCAAATTACACAGATAATTAAAGGGCACAGAAACATAGTCTTCACTTCCCTGCTCACAGAGTGATCCATATATGATGCAAATATAAAATTTAAAGGAGAGAGTGAAATTAAATGCAAAACTGGTTCTAGACTGTGCAAAAGAAAAACCCAAAAAGACTAGAGGGAAAAAAAAAAAAGGAAAACACTGGTATTAGCAACAGCACATTGACATTAGAACAGCTATACTCACAAAGCAATGAAAAGGGAAGGAAAAGTGTATTACGTTTTGGACAAAGCATCATAAATAGTCTGGGCCTCGGCGGTGACCCCAACTCCAAACCTCTCAGCCTCTGTCTCTGCTTGTCTGCAAATAACCCCATAAAACAGAACCAAAGTATACTGCATAAAATAGATTAAGACAACCAAAATTCACAAATGGGTTTTTGCCCAAATGCTATATATATTACCTAATAGCAGACTCTTCCTTGGATTGAAGAGTATTAAGATCAAGAAAACACTTTTTCAGATCAAGTGGGTCTTCTCCTTGACCCAGGAAAGAAAATTCTTTTATATAATTGGCCTTCAACAGCCTTATGTTTCTCTTCGGCCCTGACCCAGATTTCAATCCCTCTTGTACATACCCCAATCAATCAAAGAGTCAAGAAAATTCAAACCCACAAACACAAACACACATAAAAAGCAGTACACAAACACAGAGATTGAAAATCTAGGGTTTGAGAAGGATATGAAGGACGAGAATGTTGGAGGGTCGGTCAAAGGTGATGACTTGGCCTTGGAAATCATCACCCAATGTGGTCTTGATGGAGAGCATGCACCCCACTGCGAATTCTTCACTGCTGCTGTGAGCTTCCATGGCCAGCTCTGCTCTCTGAAACTCTATGAACTTTCAAGCCCCAAATAGCTAAACAGTGTTAGCCTTCTATTGAGGTCTATGGACTAACTATGGTTTAAATCTGCAATTTTAGTCCGGTAATCATTTGACAAATCGGAAAAAAAAAAAAATGGTCCAAAGTTCCTATCAATGTATGGACAATTAGAGCTGCTAAGTATCATTTTAATTTAATTTATTTATTAAAGTTAATATTGATTGGAATTTCAATTCAAAAAAATTAATAAATTAGATAAATAAATTGAGATCAATTTTATAGTAGTTGAATCATTGTATAATCTCATTTTTTTTATAATGGAGAATCATATTAATCTTAGTTATTACGAAATTTTGAGATGTATACATAATGGCCCAGACCATTTTGATTGGGTTTGGGTTGAGCTTTGTACCTATTTAATCTGAACAGCATTGGTTTGTAACTTGTAATCTAAAATTTTTTATAATAGTTTAATAGTCAAGTCTGTGATTTTATAAGAAAAAAATTTTAGATTTAATATTTTTTACACTTCTTAAAGATTAATCACTATTATTTCTTAGAAGACATATCCTTAAATTAAATTGAATTACGATGGTCAATTTCAGAGCTCGATAAAGTAGTCACTACAGGTTTAAACCCAATAAAAAAAAAACCAAATTAAAAAAAAGGTTAAAGGGCTCCGCGTAGGCGTAGCCCAGTGGTCCATTTTGTATAACCCAACCCTAAGGCCTAATCAATAGGTAGTGGACATGATTACCAAGTAGTGTAAGACATGCACCTATGGCCCAATACAAATTTCATACATCGGGGCAGCTAGGTTATGACGAGTCTTTAAAACTGTTGGATCGTGATTTGAATGCTACAAGTTCTAGTAAAAAAATTAGACGAGATAAAGTTGTGTATATTATACTCTTTTGCAGCGACAAGAGTCTCGTACTTGAGTCACTTTTTATATATTAGAAAAAATTAATGATAATAAATAGTTGTTCACAATTACTTTATTCCTAATTCTATTTGATCATGTTGTTTATGAAGATATTGATTTGGTGTTTGAGACCTCGTTTTATCAATTTTATTAAATGCTGGGTGGTAAATTTAGTTGAATATCAATAAAGAGCAAGGTTCCTATTCTTGATTTCAAATATGTGAGAACAATGGACCCATTTGGAGCTTGTGTTTTTTGGGTATGAAATAGATGTTTGAAAAATAAATTAAAAAAGTTAGCGGAATCATTTGGAGTATTTTTGAAAAAGTCAATTTTTTTTAGAAGGCCTTGAATAAACTATATTTTTCAATTTTTCTTAGTGCTGATAAAATCTATTTTTGTTAAAAAAAGATGCCCAATAAATTCAAGTCTAAAAAAATCAACTTCTTATCCTATGAAACCCAAAAAAAATTAAGGGCATGTTTGGTTATCATCTACAAAATAGTTTTTTGTTTTCAAAATTTCAAAATTTCAAAAACTCCAAAATTTATTTACTTGACATTTTTATTTTCAAAATAAATGAGATTTGGAGCATAAAAATAGAAAACAACTAAAACTTGTTTTCATAATTTTCTTTGGAACTTTTAGAAACACATAAAAAAACTAAATAAGCTAAATGAGGTATGTCCTTCGAGTCCCCTTAACAACAAAACGTCTTATTTTTCTTCTTTTATTTTTCCTCTTCCTCTCTCCACTTTGCCCATCGTCTTCACTGCCCAACATCTTCTTCTTCTTCTTTTTTCCCTCTCTCCCTCTTCACGGCCCAACGTCTTCTTCTTTTTTTTTTTTCCAGCGTCTTCACTGCCCATCTCCTCCCTCTCTTTCTATCTCGCAACAACTCCAGATCTGTGTGTCTGCATATGTGTGTGCGCGTGCGCGTGATTGTGGTTTGTGGAGACAAAGAGAGGGAAAAAAAAGAGAGAGACGGGAATTGTGATTATTGTTCAAACAAATTTTATAATTTTTTTTTTAAAATTATTTTCAAAAATATATAACCAAACAGATCTTGTAATCTAAAAACTTTCAAAAATATTTTCTTAAAACTCTTCTCAAAAACTGTTTTCGTACATTATTTTTTGAAATACAAACCAAACAGACCCTAAGATTTTCAGCCTCCCCTAAAACAGCCCAATGTCACAACTTGTTGTCCATTTCTACTGTTTTCTTCCTTTGTTTTCAGCCCAAAAAGTAGATTCAAATTCATGTCTTAAATTTGAGATAATGGGAGAGGGAGAGAGGGGTAAAAGTGGATAAAATTAGAATAAGACGTCTATTTAAAAAAAAAAAAAAAAGAAGTTTGATTAATTGGAAATGTTCGAGAAAAGGAAGGGCACTAAGAAATCAAGTACCACCTCCCCCTATACATCAAAATATTTGATAGCAATAGTCTTTCTAGTTAAATTATATGTTACTTTGTTACTAAAACGCTTAACAATAGACACCGTAAAATCTCTAAAATCACAGAAAATAGTCCTAATATCTACTAAAAGAGGACCTAGAAGCTCAAATACATTTTCCATATCAGAAACCAAACTTCATCGCATGAGTCCCTTCCAAAAAGATAGAATCACATCCTTGCTGTGGAGCAAAAAGAACTATTTCCCTTGCAACAAGGATGTGATTGGCTGAGATGCTTGTTAAAAATTATTTTTTAATATTATTTCAAAAAAGAAAATTCTAATATAAAATTTGGGCACTTTTTTTTCAATTTATTTTCTGGGAAGGGAAGGAAATAGTGGATTTGATAAAATATAATGCTATAAAAATTTAATTTATTCAAATAATTTTTAAGTCCAAATAAATCTTTGTAAAGAGCCAAAATGGTCCCCCGGGGGGGATTGCTGAGCTGGGCATCACTATCTCTGCAGGCTTGGACCCACAAATGATGCGATGGAAAATTTGTCTTAGTCCAATGGGTCTCCGTCTCTACACTAACAACAAGAAGGTAAAGCCATCGAAATTTTCATGCATTTTTTTTCTTATTTTCTTAAAATATTAAGTTCTATATTATAAATTATAATACTAATAGAATTCATTAGAACCTAATTTTGGGATCCCAACTTGAGAATTTAGTGCATTATCGTTCTTAAATTAAAATTTTAAATTAAGTATAAACATCATTATTTGAATCTAATTAAACATCCTCCTGGCTGACAACTAGGAGTGGCAAATGAGTTCTGTTTGAATTCAACTCGTTTTAAGTTTGTTCATTTAAAGAATAAATCAAATTTCAATAAATTTTTAAATTCATTTAAAAAATAAGTTTTTTAAACTCAACTAATTAATACAGAAAATAATCAAGTTATACGAGCTGATTGGGCTCATTTACCACCTCGTTAGAACATCTTCAACCCTTATTCAAATTTAAATTTGAGTAAAAAAGGCTAAAAAACTTGTTCCAACTTTTGACTCAAACTTATACCAAATCAAGCAAAATTCATTTTTTAACTCAAATCAAGGGACACTCAAATCTTTAATGGTGAAATTTTACTATCTTTTAAAGATCAAATGGTCATCCTTATTCCCTTTTAAATTTGGGTTTACCCTCATTTAAATTTGGATCTCTTTTTTTTTAAGCTTGAGTTTGTCTATTAGAATCATTTATATAAAATCAAACTTTTTATTTAAATATTAATTTAAATTTAAATAAAATTTAAACTTTTTTTTTTGAGTTTGTCTATTAAAGACGTTCTTCCTTGCAACAAATGGTGCACATGATTAAGCCATTAAATGACACCCTAATAAAGACAACTAACTACAACCCAATGCCCCGCGGTTGTCAAGAAATTGTTACTCCCTCCGTTTCTAAATATCTGTCGTTTAAGATTTTTGTACATGAATTAAGAAGGTTATTAAATAGCTCTAATATGAGTAAAAAATAATTGTACAAGACTAAAATACCCTTATTTAATATGTATTGGGAAGAAAATGAATATGAAAGGCATTTAGCCTCCACCTAATCTAATACATTGAAAAGTTAAGGGTAAATTTAAAAGAAAAAATATTAATTATGTTTTGGTTTCATTAAACGACAGATATTATGGAACAAAAAAAATTATATAAAACGACAGATATTTAGAAACGGAGAGAGTAGTTAAAACCAATAGCCAAGTCTCCTAATAATGTATTATATGCTGAAAACCTATATGGTCGGCGCCTTTTTCAAGTATATTCTTCTCTCATTTAATGAGATTTTTTTTCCTTAATCTGTTCTAGTTATGTTGGTTAGTATTTGAAGTCAAAAAAAATAATTGGTTCAAACATAATCACTTTGTAACAAATATATACATGTATATAAACAAAATGATTTTTACTATTCGCGGTTAAAATCGCTTTAAATTTTATTTTAAAATTAATTGAACAGCTAATATTAATAGTTTAAATTTAATAAGAAAAAATAAGTCGCTAAGGGTGTGTTTGGATGGACTTTTTAAAAGTACTTCTAAAAATTATTTATCATAAATATTTTTTTTAAAATAATATTTGAAATTGCCCCCCACCACCACCCCACCACCCCCACCCCACCCCACCCTCACCGTCGTCGCCACCACCACCACCGCTGCCATCACTACCACGGTTATTGTCGCCCACCACAACCATCATTGTCTCCTACCACCACCACCACCTCTCACCTCCACTACAAATTGATACTTAAATTCCTTTATCTTTTTTCTATTTTTATGATTTGATTTTGGATATGAATACAAATATTTTTATTATTTACTATTTTTTATTATTTTGCGTCTTCAGGTATAGACAATAATTAGTATATAATAATGTATAATATAATTTAAATATCAAAAGATAAACAAAATGACTTTTGTTATTCGCGATTGAGATCGTTTTAAATTTACTTTAAAATTAATCTAACGGCTAATATTAACTTCCTAAATTAATAGAAAAAATAGACTCCTAAAGGTGTGTTTGAAATGATTTTTTAACAGTACTTCTATGAATTATTTCTCATAAGTATTTTTTAAAAAAATAGTGTTTGAAATTGTCCCACTACCATCACTGTCACCATAATCACTATCGACACCCTACCATACCCACCACTACTGCCGTCACCGCTGCCACCACCATCACCACTTCTATTGCCCCACCACCACCGTCCAATACTAACACCATCATCACTACTGCTATCACTATCACCACCGTCCCCACCACTACTTCCACCCCTACCCCCCACCATCGCTACTGCCCTACCTCCACCCCCCACCCCACCTTCACTGCCTTATCGCCACCCCCACTATTGCAACCCACCACCAATTGTTTTCATCGTCGTTTATGACCACCATCGTCATCTCATTCTTATATTTATTATTATTATCAACATCATCCTACTACCACCGTCATCCACTATCAACACCCACCATCACCCATCGTCGCCAGCCACTGTCACCTACCCCACCACATCTTCCACCATCAACTGTCATCGCCCATCACTACAACCACCTATTGTCACCTACCCCACCACACTTACCACTGTCGTCATTCGCCACCACCCCATCACACTGTTACCTAGAAGCATCTATCGTCGCCCCACCACCACCATCATCACCGCTTATCACCATCGTCATCATCCCACCACCACCACTGCCAACCATCATCACTGTCGTCCACCACCACCACACCTACCACCACCATCACTATTGTCACTCATGGTTGTCACTACCATCATTATCACTCAAAATCCACCGTCACCATCACCATTGTCACCCACGACTGTTACCACCACCACGTTCGTTGCCTTACCCACTACAACCATCACTATTGTAGTCCACCACCACTACCACTGCTCACCCTCCACTACAATCTGTGCTAAAATTTATTTATCTCTCCTCTATGTTTGTGATTTGATTTTGAGTGTGAATACAAATATATTAACCATTTTTTGTATTACTCCGTATCTTCAAACACATAAAATAACTAATATATGCATAAAATAAAAAAATACAATATGCCACCTAGTAGTCTAAAAATTATGGAGCCAAGTGGTGACCCATGTAGCTCAGTGGTAAACCCCCCCCCCCCCCCAAAAAAAAAAAAAATCTCTCCATGTCTATTATGGATGGGTTTTGCCAATTGAGATGGGATTTTCATCAATTTGAATATGAATTGGAATAAAAAATGTGATTAGAAATTTATTTGAGTGTCCACATATTTTATTTTTATACTCTATCATTCTCTATTGAAAACCAAAAATTATATTTAAATTTAATTGTGTGAATAACTCAATAATCTAAGTTTTTTTTTGTTAACTCAATTTCTTAAACTAATCCCTAAATTTTCTCATTATTGGGAAACAAATACATATTTTGTATTGGATGACAATCATATAAGATATTGACATAATCCAATAAGAATCCATACCAAATGTTGGAATAGATTTAGATTTTGATTATGGATTAAAAACATTAATTTATACTCAATTTATGCAATTCTATTTAAAAGTTGGCCCATTGATGGGATCTAGTTAGGGAGACCCGTACCTAGTTTGGATTGGATGAAAAAACTAATAATCTAGCTATAGAGGTGTCAAAAAAGTTTGGTGGCAATTTTGGGCTAATTATATTTTATACTCTAAAAATTTTGAAAATTTTTATTTTATATTTTTAAAGATAAAAAAATTTATATTACATTTTTAATATATTAGAAGTGTTATAATATAACTCTTATGTTGATTTTTGTTAATTTTTTTTATCAAAAATCTTTTCATTGACATGGACAAAAAATTCTAACAAAAAATTTATATTATATATTTTTAATATATTTAATATTTTAAAATATAAAATAAAAATTCTTAAATATCTCCGAATGTAAGGTGCGATCATCCCAACAATCGTAGAAGGGCACCTGTTTTTGGAAGAATTCATCAAGTTTAGTCAGACCATGCAATGATTTAAAAAATGTGGTTGTTGTGGTTGGTTGTCTTGTCACTTTCACATGGTGCTTATGAGTGGTGTTCATGACCTTTGTAACTTTGATTTTAGTGCAATATTAGGTGGGATGTCTTGTATATAGAACATCATCATTGTGCAGGTATCATTTAGTACCTACGTACATCTCCTCGTTTCAGAGGCCAGCCAAAAAGGACCCCCAATTCCCTTGATTGCAACAAGAAGTTTTTGGACCAGCTGTCCATCTAACAAAACATGGCTTACCATCTTCTTTCTTATATTTATACACTCATTTACCATTCTATGGTAATTTTATCAAAATACCATATTTTTAAATTTATTTATTAAATTATAATATTTTTTAAAAAATGGGATTATTAATTCTGCTTTTGTTAAAAAACGAAATCAAAATTACTCTACTTGTGATGGTTGGTTGACAAAGATTAATCATTTTTTTAATCAAATGTAAAAAGAGGTTATTAGACTTAATGAATTCACTCTTAAAAGTAAAGTCTGCTTCTTAACAAAAACGGAGTCAACAACTTCAATTTTTAAATAGTGTAGGCTTGTAGCAAATTTGTTTTAAAATTGTGGTAGAATGATAAATAACAATGTCCAGGGGCGATTCAACATCATTAAAAAAAGTTAGAAAGCCTATAATTTTAGGTACGTTACTAACCCAAAAAAAAATTAAATCCTTTAAATTTTAAACCCTAAAAAAAGCTCCAAAAAATTAAGTAAAATTAAAATTTTATTATAATAATTTGGACCCATAATCCAATTCATAACATTATAAACCTAAAAATGAATAAATAAAATAAAAAGTACTCAAAGGTCAACTTATAGTTACTCTTATTCACTCTCTCTTTGTAAAAAATATTTAAAAAAAATTAAAATTTAGCACTCTCTCTAGTAAAAAATAAAACAAAAGATAAAACATTTTTCTCGACAATACTAACATCTCTCTCTCTCTCACACACACACATAATAAATTAATTTTTTTTTTAAAAATAATATTAAAAATAAAAAAGACATTCATTTAATATTTTCGCTTTAAACCTTAAACTTCCTTGAGTCACCCTCAACTTTATATTTCTAAAGATGCCAGCTCCTGTATCCTTTAGATTAGCTCAAATGGTAGGACTTCATTATTTAATTAGACTAAATTTTATAAAATATGTTTTGATTAATCCGAAATTCATAGTTTTTTAGGGATCGAATGCATCTTAAGTTTATGCGCGATAATCTTAAATTCAAAAAAATATAATTTAAAATATTATCCATTATTCTACATAATTGGACATGTATATGATAAAATCATCAAAATTTTGGAAATAAGGTTTGTTGTGTCACTCTTGCAATCACTTCGTTTGTCACAGCCAGCAACTAATTTGTAGACTTGTATTTGTCCATCTTAATACCACACTAGGATTGTTTCCCCCAAATGCTAGCAATAAATTTTGTATCCTTGACCCATTCCCTCGCTTAAGATGTCATTTTTTTTTTTGTAACAGTCAAAAATATTTAGGATAACTTACAAATATTTCGACTAATTTTCTCTATGGTTCAGTCAAAGATAAACTATCCACGTCAGAATTAGGATATTTATGAAAGATTAATTTCTCATAACACAAGTTCAAGAAATTGTCAATATTCGAATTCTGAAGATTTAAATTTATAACTCGTTTCTATTATTAATTGAACTATTACTTAGACTTGCTTAAGATATCATCGCATTGTAATAAGCTTTCCAATTCTGATACATGATCAGTTAGTCTGAAAGATTTTGGCACATAAGAAAGAAACAGTACTAAATATTATGTTGGGATAAGACAATAGGTAGGACCCTTTAGTAATCTACAACTTTTCACATCAAAATTCACTCTGGTGTAAGATTTTTTAGTTCGTCTATCGTGAATTGACGAGCAATCTTTTGAATTTTGTGGATCATATAAGATGGAGATAATTCAACAAAGGAGTACTCCTCTTTAAGTACCACAGGTACTAGATAAAGGCAAGGGTGCCCAAATCAATGCTCAGGTACAAAGAAGATAAAAAAAGAAAGGATACCACATGTTCCAACAGGCATGAAGACAATAGCAGTCTCACCACCACAGGTTTTTTTTTTTTTAGTAGTTAAGGATATTTGAGTTAATTTATATTTATTTTTATTAGGTTTTTTTTTATCTGGTCAAATATAAATTATTCATGTTAAAATTAGAATATTTAAAAAATATAATTTTTTTATAACTTCACCTCAAAAAAAATTATTAAAATTTAAATTTAAAACACCTAAATCTATGATTCTTATCCGATACCCATTCACCTCCTTCTACATATTACAACTATTTGTTAGAAAAACCAGTCGCCTACCCAAATATAATGGGATTCTCGATGTGTCTTTGACTCAATCACCTCTCTCTCTCTCTCCACTTTTTGCCACTCCAACCAAACCACCCAAAGGCAATACTACAATTTGTCCTCGGCTTTCTCAATCTCAAAAGTTCAGCCTGAACACTGCACTAGCGAGAGAGAGAGAGAGAGAGAGAGAGAGAGAGAGAGAGAGAGAGAGAGAGGGAGAGAGAGAGGGAGCAATAAGAGGGAAGAAGGGCATGAAATGGGTTCAGTTCACCCATTCAAACACCAATCTCACTCCTTCGCAAAGAAGTTCTTACCCTGGACTCTATATGCTCTCCTTCCTATAGCCCTTATTCGCTTATACTTCTATCCCATACCCCACTCCCTCTCTCCAACTGATCAGCTTCCTCCCAACAACCCCATTATCATCACCACCCCTTCTCCTTCACAAGGTACATATAAACACACACACACACACACACAGATATATGTATGTATGTATGTATGTATTTCTTGTTTATGTTGCATACATAAGGCATATGTCCATATGACTAACAAGAGTTTTGATTGGGTTTTTTGCAGAAGAGGAAAGAAGTCATGTTCAAATAGCATGTGACTATTCCACTGGCAAATGGGTCCACGACAAGAATGGCCCTTTGTACAATGGTACAAGCTGTGGTACTATTAAGGATGGTCAGAACTGCCTGAGCCATGGAAGACCTGACAAGGGTTACCTCCACTGGAGGTGGAGGCCAAAGCAGTGTCAACTAGCCAGGTTTGAGCCAACCAATTTTCTCCAACTTCTCAGGAACAAACACTTAGCTTTTATAGGTGATTCCATGGCCAGAAACCAACTTGAATCACTCCTCTGCATGCTAGCCACTCTCTCTCCTCCTCAGCTTATTTACAGAGATGGTGAAGATAACAAGTTCAGGAAATGGCATTTCCCTTCTCACAATGTCAATATATCAGTTTACTGGTCACCATTTCTTGTAAAAGGTGTTGAAAAATCAAACAGTCAAAATTACAATAAACTATACTTGGATTCTGTGGATGAAAGATGGGTCTCTGATTTGGATCATATTGACATGGTTGTTTTGTCGATGGGGCATTGGTTTCTTCATCCAGCTGTTTATTTTTATGGAGATTCAGTACTAGGTTGCCATTACTGTCCTGGCCAAAACTGCACAGAGATTGGGTTTTACCAGGTTTTTGGTAAGGCATTTAAGACAACCCTTGACACCATTATTGAAAAGAGAGCTTCTAGTGGCATACCAATTGATGTAATTGTGACCACATTTTCACCCTCTCATTTTGAAGGTGATTGGGACAAGCTTGGGGCTTGTCCCAAAACAGAGCCATATAAGGAGGGAGAGAAGAAGCTTGAATGGATGGATGAAGAAATGAGGAAAGTTGAGGTGAGAGAGGTTGAGGAAGCTAAGGAAAAAGGTGAGAGATTTACAAATTTCAGGCTTGAGGCATTGGATGTGACCAAATTGTCCTTGCTGAGACCTGATGGCCATCCTGGACCATATATGTACCCTTTTCCATTTGCTAATGGTGTTACAGAGAGGGTACATAATGACTGTGTCCATTGGTGTCTACCAGGGCCTGTTGATACTTGGAATGAGATTTTGTTGGATGTAATGAAGAGATGGGAGGGTCAATCCAGGAGTGGACGATAAGGCTCTTTATATATATATATATATATATATTATGGCTACACGTATGAAGAGATGGTAATGTCAATACTGGTTTTTGGCCATATGTGTGGTGATTGTTGCTTTGGAAGAGAGCCGGTAGAAGATGGTAAATGGTATTGGGAATTTATCCTTCTAATTGGGCTTTTCTTTGATTTAAGGGGTTAATGTTCTTGTTAGGATTATTTTAAATCTTTATTGCCACTTTACTTTTGTTTTTAACCTCTCACGGTTTTTTCATTGGGTGTACGAAAGCATGATTCAAATTCATGTTTTTCAATATACGATGTATTTGGAAAGCAGGTTTTTACATTGAAAAATGTGAATTTAAACCATGCTTTTATGCAACTAAAAGTAAACTGGAAAATAAGACAAAAACAGTGTAGAAGTAGTAAAATAAAGATATAAAATTACCCTATTAGGGTAAAAATTTCATGGTTTGGGATGTGATAGGGGTGAAAATTTGGAAGGCAGTGAAAGAGAACTGATGAAAGAAAGCATATGGGAAGCAAGTCCTGATGGTGCCAAAGATTAGGATCATTTCCAAAGAGAATTTGCCCAATATATGTACAAAAGAGTTCAATGTTAAATGGCTGAAGGTATTTAAGGAGCATTGACAATTCTGTTGTTTAGAGAGGACACCAGAATATGAAGCTTGGCTGCATTTGTCAGGAACTGCTTGCCTTCAATTTTGTCTGTTGATCTGTTTCAATGTAAGTTCTTTTCTTGCTTCAATATATTTACATATCGAAGTCTTTATTTTCAACAAAGTTCTATTTCTAGATGTTCTAGTTAAGTTTAACAAGAGTCTAAACCGGGTTTATTACGATAAAATCTAATTCGTATCATATAATTGAGCTTAATTAGTAATTTGCGTGAGTGATTGCAGAATTACACATTCAAACACGATTTAGATCGAGTTTCACCTGCCATTGTAATTTAATAATCCTTTGTGTAATTACTGTACACGAAATTTGTCGTTACAGCTGTGTAGTATTTAATTCTTTCACTCTTCCATTAAGTAACTATATGATGCATCTCAACAAGTTTCTTATGACTTGGTTTTGGATAGAAAAGTCAAGTCCTTGATTGGACGCTTGAAACTCTTTGGCAAATAGTCACTATCTTTAATAATCAAAGGAAGTAGTTTCATCTTGATTTTTCTCACACAAAGTGGGGTCAATTTGGTAGCCTTTAGTTTTGAGTTGATGGGGATCCAAAGAAACTTTAGCTGGCATACCTAGTAAGAAATGCCTCAACCACATCAATTTCCAAATGGAGGGTCCTGCTAGTTCTTAGGCCTTTTGGGGAATTTTTTTTTTTTTTTTTGGGGAGAGGGGGGGTTGGTTATGACAGTGTCTATCATAAATACTTATTTCTTTTCTATGGTTTAACAGTAGCAGTGCACTTTGTGGAAATGAGAGATCTTTCTATTTGGTTTTTTTGTTTTGTTTTATTCGATTTAACAGTTAAGGGTGTCTAAATCAATTTACGTGCACTATAAATAATCATTTTTCCGGTCCGATAAAAGACAAGTCATTTACGCCGAAATTAAGGTATTCATAAGAAATAAATTTCTCATGACTTAACACCAAGGAATTGTTAATATTCAATTTTATTATAACTTAAGCTGGGTTGAGGGCTTTCTATTTCATTTCCTTCTTCATTTACCTATTTTTTGAATAAATTGTCAATCTGATAGATGACTTTCAGAACCCAGTGGAGAATTTTATGGGTCGTTTGTTAACTTTCATTTTCGCATCTTTAAAACAATCAAAAACAGAGATAATTTTAGTGTATGTTTTGTGATAACTACTGAAACAGAAAACATGTTGGATGTCATTTTTGTTTATCAAATTATGAGAATAAAAAATAAAAAACATGTTTGATAACTATTTTACGTTTCATCCTTATATGCTTTATAATATTTTGGGGCAAGATCAAAACCATGTAATTAAAAGACAACTAATGGCAAATTGACATCATAAATTATTAGATAATTGACTTGTATAAGTGTCATCAAATGGATATTCGCTCTCAATTCTTTTGTCTGACATCTGTTTTACTTCATTAACATAATATAAACACTAAAGGATAATAGAATTTGCATTATGATTAGCTTCAAACCATAGTAAGGAGAAGCATTATTCACATATCAACACTTGGGAAATTTTAAAAGAAACAAAAACAGCCTTAGATCTACGAAGCACCAAGCTCCTGCAGTCCAGCTCTATACAGCTTTCCTCAACGGACTGTACCATATTGTACAGATTGAGACACTGCACATCATCCCAGTTTCACAACACAACTCAGAAATCTGCAAAAAAAAGGAAATTGACTTTAATCTTTCAAGAGGACCAAAACCAATTTTGATTAAATTTCTGCATCTTCTGGACTTCTCAGTTCAGCTCCTAGCTCTTAAAACAAAATCCCCAAGGCAATGATCCAATGGAGAGAAATGTAAATGAATAGAGGGAAATATATCACAGGGGAGTATGCCAACCCAATTCTCCTCATTATCATGTTGGGCATATAAAAAGCAAAAAGAGACAGCTCCACAGTCTAACACAATACAACAGTACCTCAAACAAACGCCCAAAGCCCTCAATTCTCCAAACAATAATAAACAGCAATCTTAATCTCAATCCCCAATCCCAATTCAATCTCAAATGGCAATTCAATCCCACCCCCAATTCAATTCTAAAGAAAATGGAAATTCAATCCCAATTTCAATCTCAATTCAATCACAAACACAACTCACACACATAGAATACAACGCACACACACCCAGCACACAGAACACACACACACACACACCAAGCACACAAAACACACGCAACACACACAAATCTGTGAGTATATATATATATAGAGAGAGAGAGAGAGTGAGCGAGGAGATGAGATGAAAGAGGGAAAAAGAGAGAAAAAGAAGGGGCTTACTTTCGTCAGTGAGAGAGAGAAGAGATCTCGTCGGTGATGGTGAGAGAATGGAGAGAGTGAGGCATCGATGGAGAGAAGAGAATAGAGAGAGTCAGGTAGCGATGGAGAGGAGAGAGAAATGAGGTGGGTTTAAATAAATTTATGAAAAAAAGACTATTTTTGTTGCTAAGGGAGTCCGAAATCTAGATCTCATTAATCCTTTTTAGCGCGTGTTTCTGTTTTGCGTGTTTCTTGGAACAAAATTTTTTTTTTCATATTTTTTTGTCTTTGTCTCCAATACAATGAAAATAAAACAAAATCAAAAATAGTTAGCAAACATATTTTTGTTTTCAATTTTGACAAACAAAACAAAACCAAAAACAGTTACCAAATATATTTTTGTTTTCATTTTTAAAAAATTAAAAACAAAAATATAAAATAAAAGACAAAAACAGTTATCAAACAGCTCCTTAGCTTTTGTACTTTTATTTTAACCAAAGGTGAAAGCTACAAGTGAAACAAATCATATATTCCATATTCCATTGTTCACTTTTCTTGATAATTGAATCCTTACTACATTCATAAAAAAAAAAAAAAATTCCTTACTCTTTTTTAGTCTTAAGATTTCTTGGGTTGGTTCTACATGAAAGAAACGAGAATTTCTATTTAGTGCATAGTTTCGGTCAATTTGAGAATGAAAATATTTTAGAAAATATTTTCAAAACACTTAAAAAAGGGGATGAAAATAAATAAATAAATAATTATTTTTAAAATATTCTAAAACACTGATCGAAACATATCTAAAAATGTTGAATTATAAGAATTTTGATATTTAATAACTGATTTACCTTGATTTTCATAAAAACAAAACCTCTTTGAATGTTTCATGGGCTCACAAGGGACTGATCCCGGTGACGTACCATGGGCCCTGGGCACGGCGCATTCCGTGCTTGTGTCATGCCCGTGCACTTGCCGTTGTCGTAGCTGAATTTTCATGTGCCAATGTTGTGCCCAGTAGAAGTTTAATAAATTAAATTACAAAATTACCCCTCAAAGTAATTGTCTTAAATTTATTGGGAGGGATAATTTTGTCTATTGGGGTCATATTTTCAACAAAAAAAAAAATAGTCATTGTACCAAGCTAGTCCTAATCTGCCCATGCCTGGGCCGTTAATGTGCTTGGAATGGGCCACTGAAATGCCAGTTGTACTAAACTGGAAGTACTGGGCCAGAACGACACAAGGGTCACGCTCGTGCCCTGCCCGGTCCGGCATGGCTAGTTCCAGGCTGTGCCATAGTTACCGCCAAATGTGTCCGTTTCGACGTGGCCCATTTACAAATTGTGTAATGTTAAAATAATTTATATAATATTAAATAAAAAAATTAAACAAAAATTATAAAAAGTCTTTTTCTGCTTACTATACTAGTTATTCACATTGTTCAAATTTAATCTTTGATCAGACTCATTTATTACTCATGTTAATTGATTATGTTAATTTCGGTTCGTATAGTACGGAGGCCAAACATGTCTCTCTCCAGCAGTAGTACCATATATTGTATCGTAACATTCGTAATGATCAATTTTACGAAGCCGTATCACCTGGTTAGATAAGAGAATTCCACCCCAAAAACAAAAACGACTAAATAATTCTATAGAAGCACTTCGTCCACAACAACAGGCTCTTTCGATCCTTGCAGTGAGCACTCATGGGGGTTGTTTTGATGATTTTAAAGATAGGAATTGAATTGGATTTATGAAACACTTCCAAACTCAACTCTTTTAAGTTTTGTTCATGGGATTGAACAATCAGTGTACCATATCTAATCCCATGTTTAGTAAATGACAGAAATATACATGAGACCCACAAATTAATAAATATATTTGCTAGAAATTGCTTAAACCCATCCACCTCATGGATTTGTTGGGTTTTACTTGCGGGCCTGGGATTCAAATCCTGGACTTGAATTCTGCAAACAAACAAAAAATAAGATAATGTATTGAATTATTTTGACAAAATCTACTCTATAAAACCCATGAACCAAACATGTCCACAGTGTCCTTGCTTTCTCGATATCAGTAATTAAGGATCTCTCCTCCTCCTGTTAGGTGCAAGCAATAAAAAAACATATATAATTTTAATAATATCATTACAATCGGTAAAGAAATATTTCTTCCTTCAATGATATATCGAAATCTCTTTGATTGAGGTCCACAGCTCTCCTTACGGTCAAAAGATCAAGTACAACTCCTCAGAATTCACAAACATCATTTTGCAAGGATCCTATTTCTCTTCCCTGGATGCATTGAATTGAAACAAAACATGTTTATTTAAGTTACTGTAGCAGTAGCTTCTTTGACTGCTTATCCAATACCTGGTGAGACAGTACGTGTCAAAGTTGTTCCATCTACTAAGAAAGATTTATACCGATGATTACCGGTGGTGGGTCAAAATAGCCTAAAGTACCCAGCACTCTTACTGTCACACAAGTTTCCTGGACATCTAGCATCAACTTTGAATGCCCCAAAACAGTTTTCTGTGCATAAATCCAGTAAAGCCTGATCAATCGATGTCTCATAAAAGCATGCTAAAACTACCATGTCTCATTCACAAGAAAGATGAGAAAAAATTGATACTAATTGCTAAATCACCCGACTGTACATTAGAATAAAAAACGAAAAATCTAATCGATCGTCTTCAAGAAAAAGAATAAAGTGAACGGAAAGACATCATACACATTCAATGTGGTTCAATAAATTAATTCCATAATTAACCATCCTAACCTGTTAAAACAAGCTCACAGCTAATGAAAAGCAGCAATTTCTTTGCTGAAGTGTGTAACCAGGTCATCAATGCTCATAACTGAATGATTTGTCTGGTCTCTGACACGTACACTTACCTGTAAACATTAAATGTATTATACAGGATCAAATCTTTGAGGAACTACAGAACTATAACCAATTAGACTGCAACATTTAAAATGTTTTCTAAAAGCCAGTCCAGTAATGCATGCATTCAAGCGCACAAGGTCTCTTGCCTAACCAATCCACAAGATCGTCTCCCTGCCATGCGGGACAACAGCTGGTACTTCAACTTTTGAACAATGCACCTATATCAATAAGATACTGCAAACTCCCCACTGTTTTGCTTTTTGAATCATTCATATAAGTCACATGCTCGACACTCAGTGTATGTGTCCACTAATCATAGATTTTTTCCCTTCATTTTCAGCCAAATATTTTAATTCTTCAACCTATCTCTTGCTCCCACATCTATTGTCATTGGCACAGATATTTTCGAAGGTCAAACACCTAACAAGGCCAACTAGCTCTTTGAAATGAACTGTCTACCAAGCGACTCCTATTCTGCTGGGTTGAATGCACTGTTACTTTTGTCCACATGGATCAGGAAGGTACAACATCTTATAGTTCAATGCCATAAAGCACCTTTAGTTAGCTGTGTATAACCATATACAGTCTCAATAATTCAATTACAAGGGAAGAGGTAAAACCTGTCCAGTGTTGGCTTCTTCCTCACCAACAACCAAAATATAGTTGTATTGAGCCACTTGAGCTTCTCGTATCTGCAGGGAGAAAAAATTAATCATTGTAGGTAGCAAAATCTAGGTAAACAAAAGCAACCATCCCAAAAATGAAGATCATAGATGCAGCCTAAAGCAATTTCACATGATCTAATCTCCTATTTTTCATGGGATACAAATTTGTAAGCACACCAGCTGAAATTCTTATGTTTCAAGCTATACATTAACAGAAACATCAAGTGTAAATCAAAACATACTTGGGATTAGATTGCAGTTGGTCATGCACCAAGTAGTCACACAAGATGGCATTGGAGATTTCCTTCAGATATAGACTGACTTCAAAGAATTAATCAAGGAGATTAGATGTTGAATGAGGTACGTGCTTTATATAAAGGCTGAACTTTTGGTATTCATTAAGATAGAATTAGATGATTTTCTTGCCAAGTTTGGTGTAAGTACTAAGGAGTTGAAGTTTAGATACATACAGATGGTTGGTGGGGGAACAGTTATTCAATTGAAACTTGTGTTACATTCTGGTCAAAAAAGCTGCATGCATCAATTGAGGAACTGTATTGGAAATTTTCATTAAACTATAATAGCAAAAGTTTTTTTCCTCTTGAGAAGTCATAAGCCAAAATGAATTTAAGTAGGGAGGAGGAGGATGAGTTGTGATGGGAAGAGGATCAGACTTGGTGGAAAGATGATCAGATGGCTTCTTCCCACTGAACTCCTTCTGCAACAAATTGCAAGGCCCTTATTGAAACGCCTTCCCAGCAGATAAGAGTGTGCAACTTGTGTGTGCCTAAAAAGTACCACAGCTAAAAAAAGAGAGTCCTATAATTGATTTATTAGTTTACTGTGGTCTACGAGATGGAGGACTCCCAATAGATATGCGTGTAAAGCTGACGAACAAATAGTCAATCATCTACTTTTTCCGAGCATGTACCATATATGGCAATCAATATGCAAGCCATTGGTGGTTCAAAGCTAGAAACAAGATGGCAAAGAAGTGTGGAAGGCTGTAACTATATGTCTACTTTCGAGTGTCTGGAAACTGAAAGCACAAGTTTTCGAGTCCAGAATTGGATTTTTTTTTTTTTTTTGGTTCAAAAAAAAAAAGGATGTATGCATGATGGTGCTTTATCCTTGGAGATCCTCCTCTCATTGGGTCATGAGATATTTGCTCTTTTGAGCTTAAAATTGCTCACCTAGCTTGCAAAACTTGCCTCAGTTTTCCTAAATAATATTAGTCCTTCAATCACTAATAACAAAATAACAGAATTGAGAAAACTTGTGACGCTTCGAACTGTTCCACTAGATTTATTCATATACTCAAGCATACACCATCCTCTGGTTAACAGAGTACCACGACATAAATGCAATTCAGGGTAGTATATTAAGATTCAGACATTGAGTGTTGAACACACCTTTTTCTGCATTGTTCTATCAGTTGCATCAATATCGACATGATAACCAGCATTATAAATTTGTTCCTGTACCTGCAGAAGTTAAACACAAAAAACATTTTTAGTACCCAATCAAGTGATCTTCGAAACTGTTCTCTGTTTTCTCACTAGGTTTCCTTTCTTTCTTTCTTTTTTTGGGGGGGGGGCCGGGGGGGTTGGAGTGGGGAGTGGGGAGGGGGGAGGGGGGAGGAGAGGCATGGAGGAAGGTGAGTGGGGAGAGAAGAGATAAAGGTGCAACCACATCCCAACCAGGACTTAAACCCGCACCTTCCCCTTTGGAAGTGGTGGGAGATACCACCCTAGCAAAGAGCCGGTTATAAGTCTTAAAAACATATTAAACACTATACATCAATTTTGCAAGATCTTTCCAATTCAAAAGAGTAACAACTCAACAAGGCAAAAGCCCCAAAGTAACACATTATACACTAGTTCTTACAGCAACATGCTATATTATTCAAAATCCCACTAGTGCTGTAACTTCTATAACCATCAAATCTGGACATACCATGATGGAGTACATTGTATGTTATAGTTACTGACGCAAATAGGTAGGTCTGTGAAACTCTGGCAGATTGTTAGTGGACAAGAGCTAGTACATTAAACATAATTTCTAAAAATTATTCCCAGCGTTTCTACTTCAGCTTAGCAACAAGTGGAAGAATCATTTCCCTGTATATATTTTCGGTTTTGCATTTCATATATTCAAGTAGTAAAAAGGACCAAAAAGCAGACAATTCACGCTCCTCAAATAACCACAGTAGAGCAACTGACATCAGATGACAAAAAATAACAATTAACAAGACAGCAGTTCAAGCTTGCTGGAAGTGAAGGCACAATATGCATTTCATATTATCTTAGACAATAAGTTAATGAAGAAAGAAAATAGTGACAATTCAACACCACCTTCCTTTCTAGGCAACTCGTCACCCCCTCCAACCACTATCCCACCCATCCCATCCAATCAAAAATAAAATTCAAAAAACAATAAAGAAAAAGAGCAACATTTCATACCTCTAACAACATGCATATGCTCAAAGTAAGCATCAAAAAAATGGTATAAGATCGCGATATTGGCCATAGACTTGGAATACACAGAGACACATCACTTGTGGCATCGCAGAATTAAATCAAGTGATATGCATAAAATGCTATCTAGAAATTATACATTACAAGAGATGTATGTCATCTCACTGTGTCGAGGAACATAATGGGCCAATGACTTGGAGACATCTCCGACAAGTCGCGTTAGACAGATGGTTTACATGAAACATGGAACAGTATCTGATTGAGAGGTGCCAAGTTGGATCCGCCGATAGTTTGAATCATGTATCGAAACTCAAATCATATAAAATTTTGAAGCTTGGGTGGTAAACAGATGAAGCATATACAGCTAAACAACCTTTTCTGCATATTTTTGTGATTTGTCAGACACAGGGCAAACAATTGCCTGACGTGGACTAAGCCAGAAAGGCCATTTCCCCTTGTAGTGCTCCAAAAGTATAGCAAACATGCGTTCAACAGATCCTAGTATGGCTCTGTGTATCATAACAGGTCTCTCCCTCTTACTTTCATCTTCTGCTGAATAAGTTAAGTCGAAACGAGCAGGAAGTTGGAAGTCCAGCTGTAATAACAAATATTAAACATCAAGTGATAATTAGGGGACACAATCAGTGTAGCAAGAGATGAAAAAGAAAAGAAGAGAAGATAACAAGTCAACCTGCAATGTTGCACACTGGAATTTCCTTTTCATTGCATCAGAAACACTGATATCAATCTTTGGCCCATAAAATGCCCCATCACCTTCGTTAATCTGACAACATTGCGCAACATGTGAGACATGAAGAAGACAGAACAGGGAAAGAGACACAAAACAAAACTGTGATGGTACCCAAAATAATCAAGCTGCATTTCTAATAAGGAGCACCACTCGAATAAAACAATAATTTGCTATCATTCACTTTATTACATGATCAAAACAGGAGAAGCTTGGAAATCCACTTCAGTTAGAAAACAATAAACATAACACCAAAACTCTAGGGCCAATAACATCATGCCAAAATGGTAACAGGTTACACCTATATATCAACAACATCCATAGATGGCAAGTCGTATTCACAAAGTGAATTTTGGAAGCAAGAAAATAAAAATTATGGCGGAACATGGAGGGGGAAAAATCGTATATAAGGTGATCAGAAATAAGTCTTCAACCTGCCATGGCTTCCCAAACTCATTCAACGCTTCCGTAAGAGCAGCTTCAGCCTTTTCCCATGTTGCCAAGTCTCCAAGATATTTCTCTGGCCTCTACAACGCAAAATGCATGTTAGGCAGAATTTTTTGGGGGAAAAACACTCAGTTCTCTGCATGATAGATGTTGCATATAAAACAAGGTAAAATTGGACATAGAAAGAGGAAAACAATAAAAATGTATATCTCAACCACAACAAAATGTGGATGCCTAAAAGTGAAAGGTTCAATGGCTTTCCATGAATCCTACACAGACATCAAAAAAGATGATCTAACATGTACACTCGAACATTAGATTGTATAGCTCTAGGATTTATTATAGTATGACAAAAATAATTCGTTTCAATATTCTATGGGAATTTGTATGAAAAATAAGAATAGGTGAACTCCAACCATCCTTTTTTAGTGTATATCAAACATGAACTTGAACAACTGGTTAAACAAATTGAGTAAGCAAAGTTCTATTTCTCCGGGCATATAGAAAACAAGTCAATTGCTAGTTTGTTAGTTGCTACTATATGATTACTTATCTCAAACAAACCTCTACTTGCAAGGGAACACATTACACACCTCCCCAGCTAATGGGACCTTAAAAATACAAATTAATAAAGGGAAAACTGTATCAACCAGCCATTTTTCCGATAGGGATTAAACACCACACAGAACACTCAGGATATTGCTATCTTATCATGGTGGCAATGAATGCGTCGAGCATAGTTATTAAAAATCAAGCCACTTATCCATGGGAAATCAACATTAGCATATAGATTCTTAGAACAAATAGGGACAGAACTTCCTTACCGTTGATAGCTTCAGGTCAAAGGTGAACCCAAATATATTATAAACGTAATTAATGAATTCCAACACACCCTTGACTTCATCTTTTATCTGAAATATTGAAAAACAAAAGTTATCAAACCAGCATTTGGAAGAAGGAAAGTTCTACATATATTAACTTGATATCAATACTGACCTGGGACTCCCTGCAGAAAATATGAGCATCATCCTGTAAAAACACTAGTGTCAGAAAGAAGCAACTTCAACCAGCCATGGAATAAAATGCATGCAGTTTATCTTGACCAAGTGTTCCACTCCAATGAACCAACTAGGTCCACAATAAGGATGACCAACTTTACTGTCGAACCTTGAGGCCCAACGAAACCAACCACATTGTTGCAGCTAATACAAGCACAACTGCTGACGTAAACACAAAAATTTACAGCAATTGTTTCACTAGAACAAAAGTTGACAAAGAAGATATGGCCTACTGTAACAACTTGACCGCATAATAGATCAGCAAATTATGATTTTCATAAGCCATCACAGCTGAAAGGATACCTGCTGAAATCTTCTTACACGAGTTAACCCAGTAAGTGCACCACTGGCCTCATTCCGATGCAAGACTCCAAAATCGGCAAGGCGAAGTGGAAGTTCTGCAAAGTGTCAGAAATAATTGTAGGTGAATGACTGAATGTTTGAAATCTTCGACGTAAATGGGTAATTGTCACAAAAAAGGCCAAAGGAATAACTGATAGCAATTAAGCACAGTGATTACTTGTAGCAAATCTTGTTGATGATAACTAAATATTACATGAGATCAAAGCATATACAAAGAATGACATTAAGAGTCACAGTTTGCAGTTGTATTTACTGGGAATGTATTTACCGAGAATTGCATAGTAAAATTCAATCTATATAACCAAAATCACACCCTGATTTGACGCAATACAATCATAGATTATTCTGCCGTATGCAAAATACATTTTCTTCATGTTTCGCAAAAAGGATGCAAGTGTCCATGTTTCCAAAAATCAACCAACGTCGACTACCCGCCGCAAGTTGAGGGGCAAAAATCAAAATTTTGTTTGGAAATGGTCGAAACATCCGAAACGTTTCCGTTTCCAAGGAGACCGAAACAAAATAGTGACGGAATCGAAATTCTAATACTTCGAGGTGTTTCATAATGTTTCGACGTGTTTTGTAATATTTCAATACATATGTTCAATTATTTTGAAATGTTTTAAGATATTTCAAGATACTTTGGTATATTTCAACCAATGTTTTGGAAAAATAATTCTTAAATTTTTTTTTTTCTTTTAGTTTCTGAAACACTTCGAAATATTTCTATTTCCCAAGTGAAGCATCATTATTAGAACTATTCCAGCTTCCCCACAATTCAGGTATATGACAAAAAGCATGTTCCAGCACCCATTCTTAAAAGCATCAATTCTAAGCAAGCATTTTAACAGGAATTCATTAAAATATCAAATGCCCCAGGATATATTGCATTTTAAAGCAATATAACATGCATGTTAGAAAAAGAACACAACAACAGCAAATAAAGTTTCCACCACGATCACCTATTTCAATGAAGATAAGAATACAATACAAAACATTAGACGTTGAACTTAAGTTACCCACTAGCTACGTTTTTAAACTAATAGATCCAACTCCCCTGCTAACTTGCATCTATCCATATAATCTACCGAAAAATTGTGCCTGTATCTATTATCCATTTTATATTTTCTAAACGAATGTCTTTCAGATAAAGACGGCTAGAATAATTAGAAAAATGTGAAAAGAACAAAAAACTCGCACTAAATTCCACTTTATGAAGCAAGTTAAGAATGACAAGTACGAAGGAAAAATTAAACCGATGAAACATACAAGATCACCAGTGGATGGCAAAATAAGGGTATCAACTGGGATGGTCTAGTCATAAGCAATGACTGCACCAAGAAGGCTAGAGATTATGAAAATTGAAGGGGACCGTGGGAGAAGTTTATGACATTAAGAAGCCATGATGGCTAATGACGCAGCAAAACCTGAAGAATTTGGTAAGTCATTGGAAAAGAGATTTCAACCTCGACATCAAAGATTCGAATAAGATTTAATTAGCTGAGCTTCAGGATAAAAGAAGTTCCACTTTCAAAGTCGCTGTTAAAGAACTAGCATATTTTCAATTAAAAGATGTAGTGCATCACACCATTCCACCTAACGTATACCAAGAAAAGAATACCAAATACCTGCATATGAAATCTACCCTCTTCCATAAAACAAAAAGAGTAAAAAAAACCCAATGGTGTAATTTCCATTCGAACAATGCACTCTTCTTTATCAAGATATAACTTCGCTGACATGGAACCACTTCAAAGGATACAACTTACTTATGATACATCAAATACAGAAAGACGATAATTTAGCCTCTGACCATTACACATCGAGGATAAATTTCGATTTTAATCAATTCACATAAACAATTTTAGTCACTCTTAACAACAAGTTTCTTTGAACATTTACATAGGAGTTTGACAAAAATTCTGATAGAGCATAATTTTTGTGCTCATAAATAACTCAGACAAGATTACAAGGGCATCGTAAATGCCACTGAATAGATGTAAGTAATGATCAAAAGATACTCACCTCTGTATGAACGAACTTTATGATCAAACATTAAACAATGGCCTGGACAGTTCATTGGCTTGAGTCCAAACTCTTGTTTTTCAATCTACACCAGAAGCCAGACATGCCATGGCAACATAAGAAACATAACCAGCCAAACCCTGCTCTACCAACCCCCTCCCCCTCCCCCCTAAAAAAAAAAAGGGAAAAATGGAGGAGAAGAAGAAAGTGAAAATGAAAATCAAATCATATCAATATACTGCATGGGATATAGGTCACATCACATTACATCTCCCCCAGCTGCTTCCAAATATCTTTGCCCTGAATCAGACTAATTTGGAGACTAAGTTATTTATCAACAAGCCAGTTCAGTTCATTGGGACAACTGGTTTTCTTTCAAACCCCAAAGCCAAGACACACATACAAATGAGTATGATCTATGAATTGGAGCTAGCCTTTTATCCCTTTTGTCTACCGGTCTTCTAAAATTTTCCAACATCATGCGATGAGAATGACCAGATCTTTCAATTGAATCGTTTGCAAACCATCATAATAATGACTACAAAAAAACTCACCTCAAATAAAAACATATTCTCCTTGTAATTAGCAACATGACCAGAGGTTTCCCACAGTTTCATGTTATACATATTGGGAGTCTCAACCTGCCAAATCAAGCGACTTGTAACACTCAGAACAACCTATTACACTTACTGCAATACAGAAACTCACGATAACAACTGCTTACCTCTTCGTATCCTCTCTCCCGGTACTGACTTCGGATAAAAGTTCTCAACTTATTGCAAACTCGAGTACCATGCGGAAGGAAAAAACAACTTCCTGGGCTGAAAGGACATGACAAATAAAACTAACTGCAAAAGAAAAAAGGAACAGACAAAGCAAGGGTACATAATTCAAAAACTTACCTAAGTGGGTGGAAAAAGAAAAGCTCCTGCTTCTTACCCAATTCTCTGTGATCATATTTTTTTGCTTCTTCCAGCAGAGCAATATATTCCTGCAACACAATTAATAAGCAAGTATCATCATTTGAGACCAAAGAAGCATAATTATTGATATAAGTAATTTCCTTAAAAAAACTTGTTCATTAGATCTAAAGCTCACCAAGGATGCTTATTTTCATCACGAAATGCAAATTAAACATTATGAAATCAACCTCCTGTGGCTTTCTACTTTTAATAAAAAGAAGTGTGGCGGAAAGTAAAAAAGAAATAAATTAACCAACTTAGCTGAAGTAATTGATATAACAAAATAAAGTTAGTATGCAGATACTGAACAAGTAGCAGAGAAAGGACAAAGGGATGAAGATTACCTTCAAACGTTTTTGATCTGGATAAGATATCCCATAAACTCTTTGTAAGCTTTCACGGTCTTTATTTCCCCTCCAATATGCTGATGAAGCCTGACAATAACAAGTTATGAGTAACACAGACATATGATTGCGACAAGGCTCACAATTTTGAAAAAAAAAATTGCAACATTATGTAATATCGCACCTTTAAACAAGCAAATGCTTTCACAAAAGATGTATTAGGTATATGAGGTCCACGGCACAAATCCACCAAGGGGCCACATCTGTAGACTGTGATAGTTTTGTCTTCAGGTAATTCATTAATAATCTCAACCTGATTAAGACATGAACAATACCATTCATCAAGGTCTACGATTGGGAAACATAAAACCTTCCATAAAGCATGGTGTGCGAGGAAAATCACAGGGAAAGGCAGAGAACGAAAAACGAAAAGATCTAATAGAACACATATTTCGAATGATGTAATATTAACCTTGAATTTATTTTCAGCAAACATCTCAAGAGCCTGTTCCCTTGAAACTTCAATGCGCTCAAAAGGCTGTTTTTCCTGAAAGAGAAGTCACACATGATCACGGACATGAAGTCCTACATTGTATTTTTAGAGCATATGGAAAGATCTAGGACTCCATAAAAAGCTAGCACAAAATTGGCCTATCCCAAATGGTGCCACCAATGGACGTATAACAAAATTGATCCACCAATGCCCCTGAAAGCGATAATATAAATCAAAATCTTGGGCCTTCCAAACATCTAACTCCGGCAAACTTTCCCAAGAAAGTTCCTGACATTTGTCAACTAGGACAAATCCAAAAAAACAATAATTTGATAGAAGCCCTTGTTAAAACATGACCAAGTGCAGGTTTTCATTCAACAGCACATCTAAATAGCATTTGCAACATATCTGATGTTAAAGCTGTAAAGCATGACCATAACATTGAAATCGAGAATACCGCAACAGCTTTCTTTGCTGCCGACTCCATCTGTTCAAAGTGATCCTCATTTAAGCCCAGTTCACCATAAAATGCATCATAATAAAAACCCTGCATAAGCATTTACCCAGTCATGTCTTCAGGACAACCTCAAATAATTTGCATTTTACAACAAATAACACATTCCAACCATGTAAACCGCTCAGTAGCCAATAACCATACTCTAAAAATTAAAACCAACATCAAAGGGAAAGTGATACCAGATTATATAAAGAGCAAGTGGGCCAATACCATCTATGTCAAAACTATTCATCAACAATTCACTCAAACGCCCAATTAAATCATAAATTTCCAACAGCAGCAGATACAATTTATTTATTGATCAATGACATCAGTTGCACAATCAAAGGTACCTCCCCCCTTGTAGTGCACGGCCCAATGCACAATTTGCATCCGTAAGTCACCTCAACTGACTACACAATTCACAACACAAAAAAGTCAAATACGTATGTTCATCCAAATTCATTCTTTCCATTACTATATTGTGCTCAACGGTAGCATTAAAGACTGTACCTGCCCAAGAATGTGGGCACTTGAGTGCCAAAAGGTATCGCGGCCCTCATCACTATCAAACGTGAACAATTTGAGCTCACTGTCGCTTTCCAAAGGCCTCCACATGTCCCAGAGTACTCCATTCACCGAAGAAATCAAAGCATTCGTCGCCAAACTCTTCGATATCTCCTTCGCTATATCAAACGGAGTTGATATCCACTTCTTTCCTTCCTTCACCGTCCCATCCGGTAAAGTAATCCTAAAACCCACAAAAAACATAATAAAAGACAAATTGACCTATATGTGTGTGTAGAGGTTAGAGTTAGGGTTTATACTTGATCGCATCATGTGACAGGGATTGCAGATGGGAGAGTTGATGGGATTTGATGGATTCGAAGAGGGCGATGCGTTTGGGGATGACGGTTTGGAGATAGGCTTCGTCCTTGGAGTAGGCTGGGCTGGACTTGGGCTCTGAATTGGAAGCCTTGCCCATGGTTGTTGGCCGTGGCGGTGAACAGAAGTGGTGGACGGAGGTTCTATATGGCCGACGACGGCGGACCAGAATTGAGTATCGAAACCAGGCTTGAGAACATAGCATTCGTCAGTTGAGTTCTTACCGAGAGGAGGTTTAGTAGGGTTTTATATTTAAGGACAAATTACACTCTACCCCTCAAGCTATGACTTTTTCTTATATTACCTCTCAATTATCATATTTCTCATATTATGCCTTCAACTATATTATTTATCTCCCGTTGCCTTTTATAAATTTGATTAAAAAAATTGTTCATTTTGTCCTTATAACTATGCAGTTTTATTTCACTTTGCCCAAACACTTTCATTTTTTGTCTAAAAATAATGAATATTTTTGTTTGGGGTATTGTGAAATCAGTGCAAGTAAGAGTATTAATAAAATCGAGTTTTATGAGTTTAAACTCGATTTTGAAGAGCTTATTTTTTAAAATAAATTTAAAAAATTGTTTAAGTTCTACTAATTTAAAAATCGAGCTAAGCCTAAACCTAGGTAATTTGATTATTTTACATATAAATAAATTGAGTTTGTGAGTTTAAATCAAGTCATTTAAGCTCGTTTTTCTAAATAAGTATAAAAAATTGTTCAAACTCAGTCCAAACCGAATTTTATTTGAGTCACACTTGAATAGCTCGTCTCGATTAACACCCATAAGTGCAAGTAGTTGAGGCGGTAATATTAAAAAAAAATGCAATAGTTTAGGGGATCAAGTCAAATTGAGTCCACATTTAAGGGGAGCCAAGTGTAATTTTCCATATATTTAATTTATAGTTTCATTTTAAATACGTGTCATGTTTTTATTGGGTGGTTTTAAAACCATGAGCATTCTAACGGGTTTCTTTTGTCGTGAGGTCAAAGATTTTGAGGACCGTTAGTCAGTTACAACTGATTCGGCGTGGGAAGCAAGCAATGGGCCTGTGCACGTGGATTAAGTTTGATTCTATGGGCCTTTCGGGGATGATAGCCGGAATGGATTCTCTAGGGACAACAGGCCTGTTGGGCTTGGACACAGAAAATTGGTAAGGCACTCATCACCTAGCGAGCCAACTTTTATTATTGCACCCGTAATAGTGATCGACCAATTCTAGAGAGATTTAATTTGGGGATATAATCAGTGACCTAATTTATTATATTTATTAGATTAATTATTGGTTTTAATATTCGATGAAACTCATTATCAATCTAGTAACTACAACTGATTAGCTCGTCAAATTAAGTCGAAATAATATTTTTCATAATGGTATGAAGAAAATGTAAGCACATGCCTATAATGACTATAGGTATATATATACACGAGAAACCTCTTCAATGCAATGTCACTTTGGATCCGTCCTTGTGAGAATAAACTCCAGATACTTATAATCACCCAACAAACTACAAATATTATTTAAGCTCGAGAGACACCAACGAAAATCAAACTCCTGATTCCCGGGTCTATGGTTTATTTAGATTCAACCTCACAATACTACTATATATAGATGGTAGTATAATTTTTGTTGGTTAAATCTTGGCAATTTCAACAATAGTCATGCTATGCATTGCATTCTTAAAAAAAAAAAACCATGCATGGGTATATGTAAAATATTAGATGATTTGTCGTATAATAAATGGTTATATATTTTACACGCTCTCTTACATGTAGTCTAAGTTTTGAAGTAAGAACAGACAAATCTTATAAATTACCATGAGTGATAGCTAGATTCAAACGTAATATATGTTGCTATAACACTATGTTTCATCTAATCTAATCTCATCTAAACATTTAAATTATGTCATAAGGCGAGTCCACACATAACCCACTAAGGTGTCTTCTTTACGCAGCCAAAGAGGGTTATTGAGATACGTCACGAACCCCCCAAAAAATAGTTTAATATACAAGATTTCTGTTGTTATGAAATTTATAGAAGGTCAAATGTACATAATCTTACTCGCTACTCGCATGCGAGGACTTAATCATTAAATACTTTTGAGAGTTCATGAAAGGGGGGAGCACATGCATCTTACACAGTGTGCAATCTCTTTGCTGATTCTGTACGTAACAAGGAGAGTTTGTCATCCACAACAACCTCAAGAGTTGCTTGCTCTGTTAAAGGAATGCAGGCAGGCATTGAAGTAAAGAAGAGCAATGAAACTGATGGGACCCAACAAATCCTGGAGCTAGGAAGGACACCAAGTTGGTTTTTTGGGAGGGATAGAGGGGCATGTGCAAGCATGTGAGTTCTCCCACCATTAGGTCCACAGCCAAGAAGCCCTGGCACCTGATCAATCATACTAGTATGTGTTCAAAAGGAGGAAATATTGAATATAACGGTGATACTATATCAGTAATGTTGACATGTTATCATCAATCAATAATAAAATACCAAGTAAGAAAGGTGAATCTCATTTAAATAGTTATTTACTTACATGAAAAAAAAAAAGGTAACCAGTTATTTGCTTACATGGAGAGTTGGTTATTAATTTTAGTGGGGCTTATTTGTTTATTTGTTTTGATATTATTTGTTTGTGATATCACGTTAGCATTGTCATATGGTATCACCGTTGTAATAAATATTTTCTCGTTCAAAAGATGTATCCATGTTTTTTTTTGGCTAAATAAAAGGGTGGTCAAAGGCGACTAGGCGTAACAAACCCCATATGATATTATGTTGAGGTTTTCACTTGATGTAGAATATTAGATTTGAGCAATAGCTAGTGATCTGAGATGATCAAACCTGTCACTATAGTACTACCGAAGGCAAGCTGAACATTTAACCTCTCTAACAATGTCTGGTATGAATCCATGTATTTGATCTAAGAGAACGGTTCTTTAATGTGTCACGACAAAGGATTCTTAGTGAAAACTAAAAAAAGTTGTCGTTAAAAATAATAGTACTGTTGCAATACAAGATTCAAAATTATTTGAGAATATATAAGTACATAAAGAATATTAGTGACACCGAAATGTCATAACAAATACTTGATGGCAACATATTCAACAATGCAATTTAGCCACTACAGACCCTATTAATGCAAGTTAGCCAATGCCTCGGTTACAAAATATGTATTTTGATGGCAACATATTCAATAATCAGTAGCGACACTTGCTGTCAATAATGGGCATAATTTAGTAACGAATTGGGGCATAATTTAGCAACAAATTGGGGGGTGATTTAGCAATGAATTGCATGTCGCCACGAAAATGACTTTTCATGGTCGTCACGGTGGGAGTAGCTTGCACAGTCAGAAAGTTAGGCTCCGTTGAAGGAGAAAGATCGAATCTCAGGCCAATAAGCTACAGACTATTCGGTGGCCGAATTGGTCAGACTCGGGAAACTCCCTCCAGAGCAAAGCAACTTGCAAGTCAGTTTCAACGTGAGCGCCTAGCGCACCCCCTTTATTACTAGGTTGGGCAAGCTTTGGCTTTGCACACTTAGCAACGCGATTAACCTTATTTTTGCCACTAAAACCTTTAGTGGCTTTTTTTTAACATTAGTGACGAATTCTTACTCCACAAAAAGTTTTTCATAAAAGTATTTTTTCCATAAAGTATTTTTTCTTTAACTACATATTGATTTGTGCTTTTAAAAATAAGCTTCGCTACCTACATACACAAGAATAAAATTTCCCGACAAAATCAATAATATTATTCGAACTTAATCATCTAATTTAATTTGCTGACTTACTATATAATGTTGTGTGATTTTTAGTTAGTCTCATCAATTATGGGGACCTACTGCTTCGTCAAAAACAACCGTAACTTAGGTTGATAAATTAAGTCGATGAACATATCCAATGTATTATTTCAAAGAAACAAAAATTTGAGTCTTTTTCGAATTTAATGACTTGACTAACTCACATGGTGGGACTAACCATGAAGATGTGGGTGGTCCCGACCCGCCAAATAGTGGTTTCTCTTAAAAGCATACTGATAAATTATACAAATTTGCATGTATCTTATTCTTTCGGGACACTACAAGGGTAAAAGTCTCGTCCAATAAAGGTATAAGAATAAAGACCAGTTAAATCTCTAAGCAGGGACCGAATCAACTCCAACGTTATCACCCTCCTAGTCTTTTACCTTTATGTAGAGAAAAATTCACCCCAAATGATACACAATCGATAGTAGAGATTCCATTAAAGAACTTAAGGCAACTGAGTGAACAAGATTTTCGTTACTGTAGAATTTACGAAGTGATAGATGTACGTATTCTTTTGTTTTGGAACCAAAGAATTAAAGAATATTGACAATTTTTTAGTACAAAATTATGAAAAATTTATCTCTCATAAATAACTTAGTCTCGGCGTGAATGACCTACTTTTGATTAGATTTTGGAGGAGTTGCGAACACTCTTAACCGTTGAACACAAAAAAAAAAACAAAAACCAAAGAACAATCTTAATGCTAGCTATCTTTGGTCTCACAAGCATAATATCTCTTCCATTTTAAGTGGAATAGAAGATCAACTGAACCCTACTCCCACTGCGTCGGCAGTTCTACATTCTTCTGCTGAAGTCTCTGTCTATAAATGAGTTTGTCTACCTAAGTGAATAGTCTAGCTCACTGAGTTGGCACACCCACATGCACAGTATGGGTTGTAGGGTGCAATGGCCATGGTGGGTTAATGGATATTAGGGCCCTTTGTATCATCATTCAATTCGCCACAAAACAAACCCAATTGGCCATGCAACTCTAAAGTCTCTCTCTCTCTCTCTCTCTCTCTCTCTCTCTCTCTCTCTCTCTCTCATGATTTTGGGTTTATTCACCAAGGAAGACCCTGTGACTGCGACAGAGGCAACACTGCATATGTTCAAGTGAAGAGAGCCACCCAAATGGGCCATAACCACCAGCTTGAGCCACCTTGAGGCCGACATGGTATGCCATAGCCAATTGACCATCCTCCACTTGAAGGCAATGTGGGTGCAATATTGGGACCATGATTGATCAACCACACGAAGTCTCCTCTCCCATGCGGACTTTCAGTCAATTCAGAATGCTAATCATAACGTGTAATCTCATAAACCGGCACTACTGTCAGTTTTCAAAACTTATGAAAGAAATTTCAGTAGTGGATCACTTTGGCAAAACCC